CAGGGTAACGCCCATAAAGGACAGAACTTCCTTATATAGGAGAGTCTGCACCAATAATCATCCGGAGGCGGATCTCCGGCGGCCATTTTAAAGAAGCCAGTCATCCGCCCATGTCTGCAGACACTGACCTATACAAGGAGGAATAATACCTCCAACACCCAAATTCAAAGTCAGTTTCTCCTATACTTAAATCTATATCCTCAGCGCTAAAATGCATAGGACTAAAATATACAAGGGGAAATACTATCAAATAACAAATAGGAGTACACAAACAAGTAATATTACTCCAAATAAGTATATTAAAATAAAAAACATACTTAAGTGAAGATTACCTTTACAAGTAAAAGTGAGCCATCTAGTGGATAAAATTAATAGAGCATGTGAACTAAAATTCCTCATATAAAAACTAATAGACATCCTAAGAAATACTTCTACATAAAAATCTTACAAAAAATTGTATTTACTAAAATTATTTAAAATTACTCTAACCCACATTTAATAAACCCTAATAAGATAAATACCATAAAAACTATTAGGGGGGAACCTGTCAGCCATGCAGACACCCATAACAAAGGTTCACAATATAAACACAATCACTAATAATTAATGCTAATATCTACCAGGATACTATAAATATATTGTATATTTAAAATCCCATATATTGCACAAGTAAACAATAATCATTATCAACCATCACTTAAAAAACAATTCAAGTCGAAATCCACATTTAAACCCCTCGGGTTTGCGTTCGCATCTCATAAATAAACTTGGACTCAACCTGGCTAAGGGAACGCACTTTATTAAGTCCCCTCCAGTGACCTTTAAACTTTTCAATACCCCAAAATTTTAATGTGGAGGGATCTTTATTATGATGCGTCAAGAAATGCCTAGACACATTGTGCTTAGGAAAACCTTTTTTTATGTTCTGCACATGTTCACGTAGTCGCTTCCAAAGTGGTCTCTTAGTCCTGCCCACATATTGGAGGCCACATGCGCACTCCAGACCATAAATAACTCCCTCCGTCCTACATGAAATAAAGTCACGAATTGGGAATTCTCGTCCCGTGGAATAGGCTATAAATGAGGATATCCTTTTATTATGCCCTTTGGTCTCTCTACATGCAAAACAATTCCTACAGGGGAAAAAAACCTTTCTGGTCTAGGAATGTTACTCCTTTTTTATTTCCTGGCGGGTCCACCACATTCTTTACCACTTTATTCCTAATCCTTCCGATAAATAAAAGTGGGACGTTCCAATAAAATCTTATTTAAAATAGGATCCGCTTTCAACACTGGCCAATGTTTTTTAAAAATTCTTTCAACTTTCTTATAATGAATATTAAAATCTAAAATTATGGCTACTTGATCATTCATGTTCATATCCTTCACTCTATCAGTCAACATCAATGATCTATCCATTTCTCCAATGTTCTTTATCTCATTTTTAATATGTGTTGATGTGTAACCTTTTTTCTCAAACCTTTCACCAATTATTTTGACCTGTTCTTCATAATCTACTTCCAACGTGCAATTTCTCCGTAAACGCACGAACTGGCCCCTAGGGATGTTTAAAAGCCAGGGGGGATAATGGCAGCTATCCAGAGGGATATACCCATTCCGGTCCACCTCCTTGAAAAAGGTTTTAGTAGTAAGTCCCAATTCCTCAATCCTAATATTTAAATCCAAAAAATGTATGGACTCATTACTTGTTTCCCAAGAAAATACAATATTCCTATCATTGTTATTCAATGATTGAAGAAATATCTGTAAGGATTCCTTACTCCCCTTCCATATTACTAACACATCATCAATAAATCTTTTAAACAGTATAAGTTGTTCAGGGTAGTGTTGATAAATCGTTTCTTCCTCCCAGTTTTGCATGTAGAGAGACCAAAGGCCATAATAAGAGGATATCCTCGTTTATAGCCTATTCCACGGGACGAGAATTCCCAATTCGTGACTTTATTTCATGTAGGACGGAGAGAGTTATTTATGGTCTGGAGTGCGCATGTGGCCTCCAATATGTGGGCAGGACTAAGAGACCACTTTGGAAGCGACTACGTGAACATGTGCAGAACATAAAAAAAGGTTTTCCTAAGCACAATGTGTCTAGGCATTTCTTGACGCATCATAATAAAGATCCCTCCACATTAAAATTTTGGGGTATTGAAATGTTTAAACGTCACTTGAGGGGACTCAATAAAGTGCGTTCCCTTAGCCAGGTTGAGTCCAAGTTTATTTATGAGATGCGAACGCAAACCCCGAGGGGTTTAAACGTGGATTTCGACTTGAATTGTTTTTTAAGTGATGGTTGTTAATGATTATTGTTTACTTGTGCAATATATGGGATTTAAATATACAATATATTTATATTATCCTGGTAGATATTAGCATTAATTATTAGTGATTGTGTTTATATTGTGAACCTTTGTTATGGGTGTCTGCATGGCTGACAGGTTCCCTCCCTAATAGTTTTTTATGGTATTTATCTTATTAGGGTTTATTAAATGTGGGTTAGAGTAATTTTAAATAATTTTAGTAAATAAAATTTTTTGTAAGATTTTTATGTAGAAGTATTTCTTAGGATGTCTATTAGTTTTTATATGAGGAATTTTAGTTCACATGCTCTATTAATTTTATCCACTAGATGGCTCACTTTTACTTGTAAAGGTAATCTTCACTTAAGTATGTTTTTATTTTAATATACTTATTTGGAGTAATATTACTTGTTTGTGTACTCCTATTTATTATTTGATAGTATTTCCCCTTGTATATTTTAGTCCTATGCATTTTAGCGCTGAGGATATAGATTTAAGTATAGGAGAAACTGACTTTGAATTTGGGTGTTGGAGGTATTATTCCTCCTTGTATAGGTCAGTGTCTGCAGACATGGGCGGATGACTGGCTTCTTTAAAATGGCCGCCGGAGATCCGCCTCCGGATGATTATTGGTGCAGACTCTCCTATATAAGGAAGTTCTGTCCTTTATGGGCGTTACCCTGATGAAGTCCCGTGTTGAACGTGACGCAACGCGTCGGTACGTGGGGAGGAGCTTCCGGCAAATGCGGTGACGTCATTGCCGGCGTGGGGGCCATATTGGATCACCCTGTGTATTACCCATGCAGTACGCCCATAGCATGTGGTAGGAGGCTGGAATATTAGTTTTTTTATGTGAGTGGAAATCTATTTTATATACCTATTGCTGAATAAAATACTGGTTGCACTATGGAGGGTCTCTGCTTGTGTCTCACTATGACCCTGGGAGGAGCTGGCTGCTAAACTGGTGGATGCTGGAGGTGGAAGGCGATACCTAGAGAGGGATCCATACTGGTAGGATTGTGTGATCCTGAAAGCGTGCTGGCCCTTTGGGGTCTAAGGAAGGAGGTGAGGGGGCATTTTGGCCGTTAAGGATTGTCAAGTGTGAATCACGCACACTGCACATTACTTTTGCATGAAGAGTGGAGTGTGAAGATCATCATTAAGCATTGCATCATCATTATTACTACAAATTTTTTGGACTTTTCTCGTATTTGAGTTTTGGTTCATCTTTTTTGAGCACTATATGTGTGTTGCCACTTTATTATTATTATATATGATATATTTGTCACTTTTTGCACCAGATATTGCCCATGAGGGAATACACGCATGTCACTTTATATTTATTGAGTACTTTTGATTTTTTGTAGGGGTGTATTGAGTTTTTTATTGTATCACGTATTCATCGGATATTTATTTTGATTTATTAGCGCTGCACTTTTAATTTATTTATACCACTTTATGCTGTTTGACCAAGCTTAAAGTCAAGTTTAATATAAACTTGATATTAGTTTATGTGTGAGCCTACTCTCTGGTGATAATTTACTCTGCTCAGAAGAGTACTGTGATGTCAACAGAGGTTGGGCTTTCAGAGAGGGGTCCACAACGACGGGGAACCGAAAAATAACTCATCGACTCCTAAGGGAGTAGTGCTACAATAGAGTCTTGTTTTTTGTGCGGGGTTCTCTCTTAAAATTCACACCAGACCCCTTCAGGTCTGATTTTTTTTTTTTAGGGTTGTCCTATGACATCCATCAAGGATCTGTGTATGGTATGTATTTTGAGGGAACTCAAAATGATAAAGTACAACTATAGGCTAAACATTTTTTTTCATTGTGGGTAGAGTCAGGGATGGTTAGAACCTCTGTCGTTTTTTCTATCTGTGTCACATTAGGGAGATTTCCCTTCACTTCTTGTTCCATAACCAAAAAAGGAAGTAAGAACAAATCCATGCAAATTAAGGTCTCTTGACCTCACCCCAGGTCACCAGAACTAGTGTCCCCATTGGAAATTTCCCCTCTGTTACTGTTCTGGAGGCAATCGTAAATTTGGGATTTGTTTTTACTTTCACTCAATGATAATGGTAAGCAGGACAAATAGAGAGGTTGAATCTCCCTAACAGGTCCAAAACATGACAGGTATTCTAATCCATCTACACTCTTTCCAAAATGTAAATATATATATATATATATATATATATATATATATATAAGTTTTGCCTTTAGTTACACTTTAAATTTTTGCAAATGAAGAATTGCTAACATTTGTAACATCTGTTCCAGTTTCTATGCTATTTGGACTTTTCTGTCATGTCTGCCAAGCATGTGCCCATTATGTTAACAGTAATACAAGAAACAATATCCCTACCACAAGCTTAACAAGTGTTGATCATTATTGGACATGTTACAAAAGCAGGACCTGGTGCCAAAATCATAAAATAATACTTTGGCACAATAATCTCAGTTTATGTTGAGAAAATAATTGGCAATGACATACTGTTTTGTTAACTACAATCAATATTTACTTTAATCCTATATGCTTCAGGATTAAAGATGACTGTCATGTGAAGACCTTTAAAGTTCTTGATTTTGTTCCATATTTTGGATGATGTCAGCATCTTCAGTAGTATATAACAAGGAGCTGCACCTAGTTGTAGTACCCTGAGGTGGACCAAAAACCTGAACAATGAAGACCTTCATCTTCACCTTCTTTCTGCTGGCTGGTTACAGCTTTTGGGGTAAGTCATTCACTTTCATTTGTCAGTTATGTGAAATAGGAATGATAGATCTACTTCTTAGTGCTAAATATTGGTTGATGCGTTACTTATATATACTGAGGTACTATAACCAGGCTTCCATTTCCACAAGGCACTCATGGGTTGAGGCTAGAACAGCAGGATAACAGGAGGCAACATTCAGTATAGCTTTTGCAATTACATTACATTTATTCATTTATTAACATTACATTTTTAAGTTCTTCACCTTGACTTCCTGCTGAAACCCATGTACAACAGCTAAACAAGTTAAAAGAGAAGTATGGGTTACATAAAAAAAAAAGACAATGGTACTAATCTAGGTAGATGCAGCATCGATCTTATGCTGCATCTGTCCCCCGCTGGCTGTAGAACTGAGGGATCAGTCCTTAGTGTTTTGTGAGCAGAGAGCTGATGACTGTCAGTCACTGACTCTCTGCTATGTCCCTTCAGCACTCACTGGAGCTCTGGACAGTGGAGGGGGAGAGAGTGGCCGGCTCAGACTCTCTGTGGTTGCTGAGAGGCTGAGCCAAGTGCAGGTCCAGGCTTCTGGGTGGATCCCGATCATATGGTCGGGATCTTTTCAAAGCCTGGACTGACTCTGTGATATCAGCTGACAGTGGGCTTCAGCTCGCTACCAGATGAAAATGGGTCATAGGAGTGCAGCATGAACTGTCTTGGCTGACGATGTACTGATGATTTTATTCGACTAAATACAGTTAAAACAATTTAGATGACTAATATACGACTAAAACTAAAATGGCATTTGAGTCAAAAGACTGACTAAAACTAAATCAAAATTGGATGTCAAAATTAACACTGGAGGAGACTAGGGCCACTTGGTCCAGTATAGTTTGCCAGGCTTAATCAGTAAATTCCCCCAAATATTTTTCCCACTTGCCTTGGCCAGGGAGGGTCAAGTTACCTAAGTATTTTTTTAGAAGTTGCATGTAAAAATAGAGGATGAAGATCCTTATTTGCCAGTAGTTACAGCTAAGGTTTCCATAAGCGGCGTAGAATGTAGGGTTAGGTTTACCTGTTTGGACTGGGAGAACATTCCATGTCTAAGCTGAAGATTATGGAAACACCTTCGAGATGGTATGTTATATGTCTCCTGCAAGTCTTGAAAGGTTCTTAACACATTTTGAGAGTACATTTGACCTATACACTCCCCTAGAGTAGCAGAAGTCAAACCCTTCTAGCTTACTCAGTTCTTCATATGCTGCATTCTCTAAGAGTGGTGTGTTTTTAGCAAGTGTTAAGCCTATACAAATGTCTGTCCTCATTCATAAGTGCCCATGAAAAGGTATAATACAGGGTTAACTTGTAATTCATGAATGTGACAGTCTTTTTCATAACACAAAATGATGTTACATAGTTATATAGTTAGTAAGGTTGAATAAAGACACCAGTGTATCTAGTTCAGTGTGTGTATGTATACAGTATATATATATAATAAAAGAGTGAGCGCTAATCCGAAAAAGCAGCTAAGCACTCTAAGTAACCAATATATACTTAAACAGAGTAATAACAACAAAAGTGCAGCGCTAAATAATAAAGTCTGAAAAATGTCCACTTTAAGTCTAATTCATAAAAACGTACCAGATGACAAGTAGAAATCAATGGTGGTGATCCGTGAAGAAAAGCAGAAATGCGCACTCACCAGAAGACAGATATAAGTAAGCAGTATGCATCAAAGCTCATGGATCCTCAATCAAGGAAAAAACTGGTCTGGTCAAAATGGGTTGATCCTCCCTTAAAGATGCAGAGCTTATCCAAAAAAGATCCAGGTAGCCAGAGGTCTCCTACAGCTGGATGGACGGAAGGGGTCACTTGCTTACAGGGAGTCTTCCTCCTCTTGGTAAAAGCCTGAATTCTCAGTAAAGGACTCTGCAAAAAGGTACTCCTCTCAGGGAGTCAGGGAAGGACCCCCATAGTCCCTGAGGACTTAGCCCTTGGTAAATTTATTAGAAAGCTTACCGGCTCCTCTGTCCTCTGTTTACATTCCAGGAATTAAAAAAAGCTTTCTAATAAATTTACCAAGGGCTAAGTCCTCAGGGAGAAGGGTTGTGTTAAAGTTCCATTCCCATCAAGAACACTATAATTGAGCTTATAATTGAGTTACCCAGCATAGAAGAATATCGCAAAGAAATTAGGCCCTGGTTTGCTGGACAAGAACTACATTTGGACTTAAATGGTGTCATGGTTGTGGTCCAGTTGTGATTTTTCTATGAATACTACACTATGGGCGTCCTTCCCTGACTCCCTGAGAGGAGTACCTTTTTGCAGAGTCCTTTACTGAGAATTCAGGCTTTTACCAAGAGGAGGAAGACCACCTGTATACAGTATATGTATGTCTATACCCTAGTATACTACGTTCGCTAAGAAACCCATTTATATATTTTTTGAAATTATCGACACTCCCTGCTAACACCACCAACTTTGGAAGGGAGGTCCATATCCTTACCACTTGAATAGTAAAGAACCTCCTACACTTCTGGTCCAGCTTCATTGAGTGGTCATGTGTCTTCTCAAGAAGCGCAAGGTTGAGTAGTTTTCTCCTTAAGCTAGAATCACCATTTAGATATTTGTATATTGTGATTATATTTCCTCCTAAGTGTTTCTTCTCCAGGGAGAATAAGTTTAAAGTGGTTCTAAGGTCAAAAGGTTTTTTACCTTAAAGGATTGGTTCACCTTTCATAGCATGTTATCTGTTACACCCATATTCAGGGTTTAACATGTTACGAATGGACCAGCCCTGGCACCTCCCAATCCACGTTGTGACAGTTAGTGGAGGATCTCCTCTACCCTGCTAGCTGTCACAATTTAACACAAAAACATGGCCGTGGCTCCACCCGCCAGGCCGCATCACTCATTCAGAGTATTCTGTGAATAAGAACACTACAAGTTCCGACAGCCTTAGAGGCAGTCAGCTTGTAGTTCTAAATGAGAACGCTGTGGAGCGCAGTGGTAGTTCATTCAGTTTTCCTGTCAGTAAGTATCTGTCCACCTGTATGAGATGTATGGGCACACAGATACACTGACAGGTCTGCAGGAGACCTGAATGGCACCAGCGATCTGCCGATCACTGGTTCAATGCTTTACAGGCTCTAGAAACAAAAATAATTAATGCACATTTTTTACCTGCAAAAAAATGGCCATTTATTATTTTTTGTTAAAAGGTGAACTTATCCTTTAATGCATTCTATGCATTAAGTTACAAAACCTTTCACTAGCTGATGCGCTCTAAACACTTACTTGAGTCCTTCATGGATGCAGTGCTGTGAGCGGATGCAGTTCTTCTTGTCCCTCTTTCTCTTCTCACAGGAGGATCAAACAGCAGCAGGAACCATTGGCTCCTACTGCTGTCAGTCAAATCCTGTGAGGAGGTTGGGGGCAGGGCCAAGCCACACTGAGTGTGTCTATGGATGCAAACAGCCCAGTTCAGGAGCATGCTCACACATGTGCCCCCATAGCATGTGGCTTGCTTTGAAGGCACAAGCAGAATAGGAGGGGCAGGCAGTGCCAGTGGGGATAAGACACCGCTCTGTGCAATATTATTGCACAGAAAAGGTAAGTGCACACCCCCTTTTTTATAAAAAAAAAAATGCTTAAACAACTTTAGTGTGTAGTAGTTCCTCGTAACTGAGGTCTTCCAGTCCCCTTATTAGCTTTATCACCCTTTTCTGGACTCTCTCCAGTTCCAGCACATCCTTCTAGAGGACTGGTGACCAAAACTGGATGGCATTCTCATGATGTGGTTGGACCAGAGTTTTGTCAAGTGGTAGAATTATAGTCTTACCTCTTGAGTAGATACCCTTTTTAACGCATGTTAATGTTTAGATAACAAAGCTTGAAACATGACCAGTGTTACCTTGTCTTAGAAAATCAAATCGTCAGCGTATAAAGAAAAAAAAAACACATTGCATTTTATTACAATGGGTCAGTAATTGGTAAGTTATTATACATGAACTTCAACAATATGTGAAATCAAGAACTGAGGTGAAAGTATTGCTATGATGAAAGCTTAATGTTGCATAATATGTATTTGTCTTCTGATTATAGAAACAGAAGCTGGAGTATTAACAAAAGCTGAGTGTTTGGTGAATTTCACTAAAGTAAGCTTCTTTGTCCTCTTTCTTGTATACTTTATATCCATATTAAAACATTATGTATACATATACTTAGCTCAGTCCTCCAGCATATGCATTTACTCTCCTGTTATTCTGGTGTCAGTGACACAGGCCCTGCCACCATCCTAAAGACACAAATTCTACCACCATCCTAGTGACACAGACCCTGCCACCATTCTAGTTACAAAAATAGTGCCACTGTCCTAGTTACAAAACTTCTGCCACTGTCCTAGTGACAAAGACCCTTTCACCATCTTAGTTACAAAAAATTCTGCCACTGTCCTAGTTACAAAACTTCTGCCACCGTTCTAGTGGCACAAATCCTATCACCATCCTAGTGACACAGACCCTGCCACCGTCCTAGTGATACAGATTTATTATAGTTCCAATTATACAGACCCATCCCTCTTTCTAGTAACCCAAACCTCACCCCATATCAGTGACAATGGCACAGATTACACCCCATCCTAGTGACAGATTACACCCCCATTCTGGTGACAGTGCCAGGCTGGAAAGCTCTTATGGTGGCTCTAGTGATTAGATCGAACGATTATTCACAAATCAGACAATGTGGTCAAATCTATGATTTATGGAAAAGACACAAGACTCTGACTGGTCTGCACAGAAAAAAGGTAGATAGGTCAATATGATTGCAAAGTATATGGCACCTCAGACAATTTTTTCAATTATTATATTTTTCTCACAGACAATAAAATGATCAACAGTACGACTGCATAAAAAATTGCCCTGTAGCACTGTGATAGACATTTCCACCTGTCCTGCTATAGCTCTGAACAAGAAGTACATCAGAGGTTTCCTGTTCAGAGCTGGTAAAGTAGCTGACATTTAATGTCTAGTGGCAGCTTTTTAGCAAGTGTCCAATACCTGTCCTTTCCTAAAGTTCCATAAATATGGATTGATTCATCAGTTTTTTGTTATATACAATCCTTAAATTGTTTAATGGTGTAGCACCCTCAAGTGTGCTAGTAGAATAGTGTAGTGTATTATAAGCAAAATCATTGTGTGACTCATGGTAATTTTGTGGGTCATGTGATACAGGTCGGTTTATTGCAAATCAGCTGGATGACTCTACAGGTTGTGGCTCTATGGCCTCCTCCTGACTCTGGAGGACCATAGAACCTTCCAGAGGTTGGTATGAAGGAAGGGGTGGAGGCCAAATCTCCATATTCATCGGAGGTCTGTCCAATCCCAGGTTTGGAGGCCCTGGTAGAGTGATGAACTATAAATATGTGAGAGTCAGGCTGACAGGGGTCAGGTAGAAGATGGAGTGATGAGAAGACTGTCGGTGTCTAAGAGGGGTCCCCTAGGTCTGGGGGAAGCCTGCCTTTAGGTTGCTCTCAGGCTGGCTCAGTAGGATACATTGTGTTGAGAGGTGTGGATAGGAGTAAGGCCTGGAGCAGCAGGGAGCAAAGAGGACATTGTGAGAACAGCAGCTAAAAGGGAATAAAACTGCCAAACGTAGCAAGCTTTCCAAGGACAGCATTAAGCTAAATCTTTATCCTTGACATGGGAGATCTTCTGAGAAGCCAGTAGGGCTGGTAGTGCCTACATATGTGGGAGATTTTTTGAGAAGCCAGGAGGGCTGGTAGTGCCCACATCCTGGAGAGCTGGGAGCAGCACTGTAGGGGGAGAGAAGACATTCCTGCATGTAGCGCACATGAAGAAGTAAAGTGATTTTTGAGGGGCTGCTAGTTCCTCACTTGTAAAGGGAAGCTGCTACTGATCCTCAATGACTGACAGCTTTCAGGAAAAGAACAGTCCAGGATCTGCTTCTTTTTTTTTTTTTTTTTAAGGGGGGAAGTATCCCCTTTCCATTATTTCAAGCCAAACTGGGCATCCCATAATCCCTATTTCCCTATCCAAGTTGAACTCCCCTAATAAATCAACAAAACCAAGTTCATGGACTGATCACTATCTTTGGATGAAAGTTCATGTGACAAATTGTTGTTGTCTGGCTGTGCGGAGGGAAGCTTAAGGATACCCACAATACAGCGGCCCTCACGAGGGTAGCTCAACAATGGTAATATATTAAAGCAGCATTAATCCCCCAAAAATAATATATTGCAGCTAAACAATTCTTAAGCGTAGTGACTGCATTTGTTTTCTGTTCTCCTTTTTATTTCACCTGGTGATCTGACCACTAACACACTTCCTGTCTTAGGATATCTCCGCTCTGGATGGAGGAGCAATGGAGACACATTTGGACAACAGTAATGTCAATCTGGGAAAAGGGTAAAGTTAGATGCACTAGCAAATTTAGATCAACAAATGAATGCAGAACAGGAAGGCCAGAACTTTTAGGACTGTATCACACTTCTGATCCTGTCAATGGTGGCAACTCTATAGTGACAGTAATGCTAGAACGGGCAGAGAGAAACACTTACCTGTTCCCGTGACATCACTTATTGGGTGGATGAAGAGGCAATACTTTGTCACCGGTGAGGGAGATTCTGCAGTGTTTACATCAGCATGGGCCAATGAGGGAGCAATGCTGAACACAGGTGTGCATTTCTCTCTGCCTTTTTCTAGAAATTATAGAAAGGAATGTGCCTAGTCCCTTATCTGCATGCTGTTCTGAGTCAGGGGTTTATAAAGTAGTGAAGCCACTGGATCACCATGACAACCAGGGAAGTGGTACTTCAGAAGCAGAGCTTATCATTGTCAGCCTCCATATCGCTCCAGTACAGGTCACTTTCAATGTTCAATGCCCACAAACTAAAGGAATGCGTGGATCTTGACTGTAAAATGTTGACAGCTGCTTTGTATTGTACTAATGACTTATTAATGTTTTTTTGTTTTTCTTTTTAACAGACGTTTGAAAACTTTACTACAGATTTTACAAACTTAATGTGCACATTATCTAAAAATAAAACGGTAATTATTAGACATAAAATGCTTTCTTTTTTATAACTTCATATGGTAGAATGTACTAGAATGGGTAAGAATAGTTTGTACATTATGAACTTCTATATAATGAATGTACATAGGATAAATAATAACAAATAAAGAAAGGAAGCCATACTATGGATCAGTAATCATATATCTATATTAAACAAATCCCTGGAATGCAGGCTATATGTATGGGCTTCTCAACTGACGTGTTTCACTCAGTAGGAGCTTAAAGTGACACTAAACGACATTCTTATTTTCTAAAAATACCCATACACATTCACTGCTTAATGGCCCGCTAATCTATTTTGTATGAAATTGTTTCTTACTGTGTTTATCTTCTTTCTTGTAATGTTCTCCATGAGCTCCCAAGCCTCTCATTTTCCTTCTCACTTCTGTTTGTTTAGAATGAGCAGTACATGTTGTAGTTGTGGTCATGTTCACTGCTCTGTGCATACTATAAATCCTATAGTTTACAGCCCCTAGTCCATCTTGGTAGTGAGCAAGAGAGTGTGACTATGATCCTACGTACTGGGGTAGATTTACTAAAGCTGGTTCACTCAGAATCTTCTGTACCTGTGCATGATAGCCAATCAGCTTCTAACCTCAGCTTGTTCAGTTAAGCTTTTGCAATAAAACCTGGAACCTGACTGGTTTCCATGAAGTGCATGAGATTCTGAGTGAACCAACTTTAGTAAATAAACCCCACAGTGGGGCCATGAAGAAAGTACGAAGCTACCGTCTAATAGAAAGTCAGATCACAGCAACAAAAAAGAAGTTTAGGGACATGGAGGAGGCTGAAAGCAATAGATAGAAGGTAATTTTGAGTTATGAATACGTAGAACTTTTTGAGTAGAACTTAAAAAAAAAAACCAGAATTTAGTGTCACGTTAAGTGATCCCAAATTCTGAGTGGAGGAATGTGGGGGTGGGGGAGAGAGAGTTCGGGATGAAGGCACAAGCTATGGGAGGGATAATAGAAGGAAAGAGGTTAAGTTATTTTCTGTTTGGACTCTCTGTTTGTGAGGATCATTATATATCCAGTCCAATAGTCTCATGAACTGAGTAGCCTTGTAGTATAGTTCCATGAGCGGGAGCCCTGCTCTTCCTAAATGCTTCAGTTTGAATAAATAATCATAGCATAGGCACTGGGAAAGTTGCTCCATATGTATCAAAGGAGAGTTGATTTTAGTGTACAGAGAAAATACTTGGGGGCCTCATTAGTCAGAAACACATATAATATGCAAGGTTGGATAGGGAGCTCCATGAGCTCCCAAACCTCTTCTTTCCCACCACTCACTTCCTTTTGTATGAAACAAGCAGTGTTCCCAAGGATTCTTGGGACTTGGAGGGGATTGAGAGTAATAGAAGAGACTTTTTGAGTGAAGAAAAAATACTTGAATAGAGCTTTCACAATCAATAGTCCATCTCAGGAGCAAGCAGGACCATAGAGAACAAATGTAGCCACCCTCTAACAAGAAGTCATGTCATAGAAGCACAATGAAGGAATTTGCAAAGTTGGAGGCGGCTGATAGCAATAGAAGATACTTTTTTGTGTTAATATTACATACCTGAATAGAATTTATTTTTAAATCCGAGTTTAGTGTCACTTTAATCGTAGAAAAATGTTGGAGGTGAAGGTCAGATGGATTGTCTATGTACCAGTATTTATTCAGAAATACAGTTATTGATCCAGATTGCAGCTTGCTTCCTTTCTTTATTAGTTATGTACAGCTGGGTCCAGTCAGAAGCTGGCAGCCAGGACAGGAGAATGAGGATCTAGAATTCAACTATGGATTGTGTTTACATATTTACATAGGGCACCTGGCACACAGGAAAGGGGGTATACTCTACAATACACCTTGGGGAAGCAATGGTGTGAGTTGAAAGCAAGAGCAAGTACTTTATATTGCCTGCTTTTCAGATCGCTATGAATTGGATCAATTCTGTGTCAGTACAGAGTCACTTTAATGAAGCATGTTGTATTAAAAAACTACTGCATGCCCATCTTAGAGGTGATTGAAGGGCAGATGCCAATGCCAAATTTAACAGCTTGGTTATCCTGACAAAAACCTAAAATAACCTTATTATTGGTTTTTTTTAATACTAAATATATAAGGTTTCATTTGGTATACGGTTTTAATAGATACCCCGCACAGATTTTTCATAATAAATTGAATTATGGACAAAAATATTTCTTCAAATTGCATTTCTAGCCCTTTCCAACCACCGCCTCCTAACCGTAACAGGATCTAAATGTTGGGAGGCGGAGGCGAGCATTCCAACCATGTGACCGCTGTGATGGTCACATAGTCGGAAAGCTTCCAATCTGAAGTATGCATCGGGAACTTTCCCGTACCCGCTCGTTACTGTGCTGGGGTTCAGCAACGGCAGTCTTCATATTTCTTCTAGTACATCTTTGCTTTAAAATATTAGAGAAGGCAAAATGGAAATGAACATAGGCTATAATATAAACATTCCCTGCAACTGACTGGCAGCGTTCTAAAGCCGATTTGTCTTTACACAGTGGTACAATATAGATTTCTAATACTGGAAAAGATTGTGTCATAAGCAGACTTCCTCTCCTGCATGTTTAACTGATTACATTTTACTTCCACAGGATGATGTTAAGGCGGATAATAGCACTGAAAATAAGGATGATCCTAAGGTTGCAGCAATTAAACAATTCTTAGCAAAGTATGATGGCAAGCTGGTAAGACAAGCCTGTGTTTTGTTTAAGCACAGGACATATTTTATACATTTCATTGGCCCTAAAGTCTAATTTTTATTGTATGTTTTATGTTTTTACAGCAAGTGTACTGTGTAATAAAAGTGAAGCTTGTCTCATTGCCTACTTAGGACCAGCTCTAAGCTTTCTTAAAACTGGAAAAATTCCTCTTCTCTGGCTGTTTTGCTGAGGCTGCCGGCCGGCTGTTCCAATTTCAGTCAGCACGCCTTCCGGTGACTCCCCGTTAGGCCCGCTTCTTTATCTGTACCGAGTGAAAGACTTTGTCTCTTGGGATATGTGACATGCAAAGAAAGGACAGAGCATTTCATTCGACTAGGCAATTGATGTGCAAGGTGGGGGGAGGGACTGTGATTCTGGACAGTTTATTGAAAAAAAAGTGCCTTCTATGCACAGGATCGGAGGAGGGGTGGAGAGGGGGGATCATTTATCAGAGGAAAATTTGCTTTAAGGTTTCCATTTCTTCAAGAATTTTACCAGGATTCAGTTTTTAGATAAAATTAACTAATTCAGAACTGATTTACATCATACATTTATACAAGTACTTTACTGGGTTTTCTGTTTTTTTTTTTTTTTTTTTACAAAAACTGAATTTTATTGGATCCCATCTGTCCCATTATATTATTTTATTAAAGACTTAATGTATATTTAAAACATTTATTTTTTATTTTTAAATTGAATAGAGTATGGCATGGTTAAAGCTGAACTTTGAACACTATACATTTCTTTGAAATATATTCCTCAATAGTCACTAAAGATACAAAGTCACTTTGTGTGCACCAAATGCAGATATTACCTTGTAATGGTAGCAGTGACATCATCACTATGCTGTACATAGCCTGTGCAGAGAGCAGAGGTATGTGAGGGATCCAGCAGTCTCCACCCACTACAGGCTGACTGCAGAAAACTACATGAGGGGTGGAGAAAAGACCAGTCACACTGCTCAAGAGGAGAGAGCAGCAGTGATTGGTCTTTATTACAGGAAGTTCCTGCACAGAGGCAAAGTTTCACACTGGATAACTGCACAAATCTGTAAGAAATACACAAAGCACTCCAAGATGCAAGGTAGAATACACACGACTCTTGTATTTAGACAATATTTGCTTATCTTGGAGTTCAGCTTTTTGAGTCCTAATAGATGTATTTGCCATCTGTCTCCTATTCAAAAGATTTCCCTTCACGTCCTGTCCTCCTGACACAAGTGATAGGAAACCTCTAAATTGAGAGAAGTGCCCTCTCAGGCGGTTGTCAATTTATAACATTGCCCCTGTATACCTGGTCCACTGACTACAAATTTTAGATTTTTCCTTATTTTCAGTTTGATGACAATGGTCACCAGGACAAATAGAGAAAGTAAATCTTCTTAGTGGAGTACACAAACAGCAATAAAAACCTGACATGGATTCTACCCCCTCACCACTCCATTCTAAACAAAAACCTTGCTTTAGATACACTTAAGAATTCTATTTAAGCATTTAAAACAACAATTTAAAGACTTGAGAAATCTTCATGTGTTTTTCTAGGCAAAGCTTTGGTTTTTTCCACTTTTGATTAGAGCTGTGAAGGGTTAGACCTATTAAGCTTTTTTGGGGTCATTTATTATTCACCCTCTATTTGTTCTCCTAACCATTGTCACAGAGAAAGAAAGTGAGGGGAAATCCACAATTTTATAGTTTTCCCCAGAACAAGAGGTGAGGGAAAGTTTCCAGTTAGGACACCGGTTTGGTGAACAACTGTCTTGGGAGATTTCCACTGACTTCCTGTTGTGCCTCTGGGACAGGAAAATTGGAGGGAGTTCCCCAATGGTACACAAATAGAAAAAAAATATACTGATAGGGGTTTTATTTACTCCCTAGTCTTTCACAACCAAAACAAAAGTTGTAACTATCGGTACACTTTAACGAAGAAAAATAACGTATATTTGACCCATAACCATTATAGTCTCCCTTTAACCCCACAGCCAGGCTAGCTAATAGTCAGGATAAAAAGATTTCCAATAATATATTCTGATCATCACAAGAAATTATTTTAACATTCAGAACCTAATTTACTTTAGTTTATGGCTGTCATAACATGAATGCTTGTATCTACTATAAAATGATCTTCGATTAAAGTGGAACTTTAGGCAGAAAATTAAGTCTAAGTCCTGCTAGATCACTTCAAAAATACAAAAAAAATTCCAGTACATTTGTAAATGCTATAACTTTCACGTAAACCAATTAATTTACGTATTGGGATTTTTTTTTAGCAAAGATGTATCAGAATACACTTTGGCCTAAATGTATGACTAAATTTGATTTTTTAAATTTGTTTTACTGGACACATTTAATAGCAAAAAAGTAAAAAAATATTGTTTCTCTAAACTGTTGACCTTTTTTTTTATAGCGCAAAAAAATACAAAACACAGAGGCAATCACATACCACCAAAAGGAAGCTTGTGGGGGAAAAAAAAGGACATAAATTTAATTTGGGTGCAGCATTACATGACCGAGCAATTGTCAGTTAAAGTAACGTAGCGCCATAACGCAAAAAATGGCCTGGCCAGGAAGGGGGGGGGGGGGTAAATCCTCTAGAGGGCAAGTGGAACTTTAGTCAGAAAATTAAGTCCTGCTAGATCACTTCAGGCTGGTTGCAGGTATAGCTATACTCATTAAAAAGAAGTGCATATACTGTTTAAAATCCAGTAATACACTGTCTCACCCTGCTCTGCTCATGCGCAATTGCTCTCCATTTTTAGGTACTGTACTGAATTTTTAGAGGCCAATCTGCTGACAGTATACAGATTAAAGCAGAACTAAACCTATCAATTTAACAGTTTCAAAAAACAGTTACATTTCCAGCACATGCCAGGAATGGTAACTGTCACATTAGCTTGTGTTCTCAACCAAACTGTCAAACCATCAAATGACTGGTGTCATAACTGATCACATGTGCAGCACCATGGCAGTTGCAGATCAAACAGATGGCAGCGTCCTTGCCTGTAAAGCATAGGAGGGTTTACTTCTGCTTTAACTGCTGCTCAGGGCTCTGGGCTTCAACAAAATGGCAGCCTCCAGTAAAAAGCACACACTAATTTTAGTAGCATAATTATTCATGTAGAATGTATGTTCCTTGCTAAAAAAACTTTTTTTTTTAATCAATTGTTATGATTAAAGTTCCACTTTAAATTGGTGCTTCATCTAAATCAGATTTTTTTTCATGTGGTATGATCTCGTCCAAAGAATCTTTGTAAATAACAGGGAAATTGGAGTCTCGCCGTGGATTAGACTCCTATGTTATACTACACATAATGCCCCTCACAGTGCAGCATTACATCTGACCAGACAAACTGCTATATTTGATTTCCTCTTCAGGTGACCTATTAGGTGAAATATGCAGCCCACTGTCCCTGTCATGTCCTGTATATAGTCCGGAGGAGCTTTTTGTTTAAAATGCAGTAATGTGATCTGATTTCTTATCTTCCAACAGGCTGAATGTAATCTCACCAAAATCCTTTGGCCTGATATTGTAAGTTTACACACTGATGCATGATTACACATTAGCGCTTTGCTTTGAAAATTTTCATCAGAGATATTTTGTGTATTTTTTGCTTTTTTCAGGCTTTTTTCTCTTTATCTTCACCTGGTGTTCCTCCTGTAATACACTCTGTTCTAGACTGACAACACTCACTCAATGAAGTGCATTTATTGAGGAGCAGTGTTGTCACCTTAGGGCAGAACTACAGAGCACCTCCATCTCGCCACATCTCTATAACATAGGAGTAAGGTGTTCTGTAGTTTACAGAGAGCATAGGGCCGGGTTGATAACATTGTCAGAGATAAGACTGTAGGGTGCACACGGCAGCACTGGTTAGCTGGCAGGATCAACAGTATTCCTTTATATTTTTACAGTAAATCAAACAGATATAACTAATATTTTATATTGTTTATTTAACAGACCATATAAGAGAATCTGAATGTTAGAGTTTACATTTCCATTAAAAAACATTTAGCACTTTTTTCATGGATACTCACTGGGAACTTTACAACATTGCTGGTGTTCTGGGTGAGATTTCTGAAAAATATATGCATGTTGATGTGGCAGGAGTTACCTGTAAAGTTAAATAATCCAATGTAAAGACTTCCCAAGTTGATCAGCAAGGCCTCGGTGGATCCATTACATTGGCCAATGATGGAAGCCTAGACAGCGGTGTCGTTTGGGCAGTTAAGACTTGTTTAGACCACTTCATTTGAGCTGTGTTTATCTGTGTACATAGATTGTGTTCCAAGTTATTTGTTCACACCACAAGGATGTATTTTTTGAAACACATAGGAGGTTATTTACTAAAACTGGAGAGTGCAAGTCTGCAACAGAAACCAATCAGCTTCCAGATGTTATTGCCAAAGCTTACAGTGTTACTAAACCCACAACAGTGAAATCAGTCTGGTATATGCAGTAAAGAATGCTAGTTATACTCACTGTGGAACCTAAGGGGTTAATCCTCCACATTGTCTAAAACAGCTGTTTGATCCTGTCTTCTCTGATCCTCCCCTTTTTCTACTGTCCTATAATAGCTGTTAGCAATAATCGCATGTAAAATCCAACAGGTCGGTTATACCCAAGTTGATTGAGCAATCAACTTGGGCACATTCAGCATGCCCATGCATGGTTTGAATCTTGGTCAGTTCCTACTGAACCGGCCGAGATTTGGACCGCCTATGGCTGGCTTAAGAAGCCGATTGCTTACTATGCACAACTGCACCAGATTCTGTGTGCAACAGTCTTATTAAATCTCCCCCAGAGCACCTCACCTAATGTCACTGTTAGTCACTGCACTATACCTCCGCTGTGCTGCATAGAAGTGAATTAATTTTTCATTTTGCAACCTTTTAATAAAGTTAGAAAAAAATTAAGAAAAAAATGGTAGACATTGCCTTGCATTGTAAGAAGGCGAAGCACTGCCCCTAAAAATATCAAAAATAGATTGCAGCTATTGTTCAATAGAGCATGGAGATAAACATAGGGCCAAATTAAAGTATATGTCAGGAATGAAAAATAAACATATTTAGTAGATCAGCTTCAATAAACACGTTTACCCATGTTTACCCCTGTACAAATGCTGCAATATAAGAATATACCTGTTGATCTGCCAGACATTCAGGGAGTTTCTAACTTCTTGTTTGAGCTGACAACTTTACCTCTAGTGCTCTTATGGCCCTAGTAGTGTTGTCAGCTCAAACACCTGGGATTTCAGAGCAGCAGAGGCAGAGTTGTCAGCTCAAACAGGAAATATGGCATCCTGACAATCAAACCATTTTACTAATTTACTAAAGGAGTAAAGAATGTTCAGCTTTGTGAATAGGGAAAACGTACTTTGAATAGAACCCTTCCACCTTAATAACTAAAGCTAACACTACTCTACAAAGTGAACACTATTACTGTGGTAATTGAAGCCCACTTAGTGCTACAAAACATCTGAAAGGATACTGAACCCAAAAATAAAACATGTAATATGTTGCAGCTTGATTGTAGTGACTGCATTTGTTTTATTTTTATGCACAGTACATATTCTGCAAGTACAGAAAAATAACTGTTTATCTTGCTAGAATGTGTTTCCTGTAACTTCCTGTGCACTGAACTAGTATATAAAATAATCTAATCAGTTTTCCCAGCTATCTTCTGTGAACTACAAAAGAACAGTCTCCAATGTAACTGATACAAGTAAAGGTTAGTAGTCTAAATCAGGTGAGCGGTCTAGAGTGACAGCCATGGCTCTCTTCATATACACAATTGAGTGTATAAGGCTAGGCTCATACTAGACAGAGCTCTGAAAAACAATCCGTGATAAATCACTTTTCAGAGCATGGCCAAGTAGCTGCTGTCAGGTGTGTGTGTTTTTATATCTCCTGCCAAACAGCCATATATAATGCTAATTTGATGCAAGAGTTTGGCTCCCAGTTATGGCTCAGTCCAATCAACTTTAATGGTTGAGTTTGACAGGCTGGCTGTCAACTTGGCATGTCATGTTAAATTTTCTGAGGCATGTGAACAGCCCCCTCTGGCTATTGAAATACCAAAAACAGTGCTCTCAAAACTATATATGCCCTTAAATTATTTAAATATGAATAAAATAAATAAATCAATAAATGTATAAATAAATAAAAACTGCCACCAAAAAAAATTTCATATGTGCCAAAAATTTGAGACATCAAAAATTATAAGTCCATAATAAAGTGTAGTCCATATATAATTTTCTTCACAAAATATATTCGCCACAACCGTGAATTCCTTTGTGCTCAACACCCCATCAAAGTGATAACTCACCAGATGCTGGTTGCGAATATATTTTTTGAAGAAAATTATATATTTTTTGAAAAAAAATTACATATGGACTACACAAAGGAATTTACGGTTGTGGCGAATATATTTTTTGAAGAAAATTACATATGGACTACACTTTATTAGGGACTTCTAATTTTTGATGTCTCACATTTTTGCCACATATTAATTTTTTTTTGGTGGCAGTTTTTACTTACACATTTATTGATTTATTTTATTTAAATAATTTAAGGGCATATATAGTTTTGAAAGCGCTGGTTTTGGTATTTCCATTCATTTATATGTTTTTTTTATTTGTTTAAAATAGCACCTCTAATCACATATTTGAAGAATAGGAATTTGATTTTTATTATATCACGTTAACTTGGCGCGGTGATGTAAGCTATTAATTTATTAATTTATTGATACATTGATATTGATTTATTCTAGCTTATATACAAAGTTTTTTTACCCCTCTGGCTATTGTTTAGCTTTTAGGTGGGCAATGGGGGGGGGGGTCAGTAAAATTGTGGGCTGTTTTTACTTCCCCCTGGTTGCCTGTGAAAGAGATCTAAGTAAGTGAGAGTAGCCACACTAGGAAAAGGAGTCTCCAGTATCACCAGGTGAAAATGAAGGTTAAAGTATACCTGAAAAAGATAAACTAATGTAGCCACTACATGAGGACTGATAAGCTGCAAAATGTGGTCGTTTCTTTAGATTGCAAGCTCCACGCACAGGGCCCTCCTGTTCCTTCTGTACTGAAATGTATTGTAATTGTACTGTTGCTCTTTCTATTGTAAAGCACTGAGCAAACTGTTGGCGCTATATAACTCCTGTATAATAATAATATTATTAATTTCTTCCCATTTTCAGCTACAATATAAACTTGCAACTTGTACTAAGGAGGTTTAAAGCTATTAAGACCCGTATGAGCTCTAATGAAATCAGCAGTAAACTGGCACTGCTTTGTGATCGATTCTTGGAATGTTTGAGGGTCTATTCACACCAGCAGATGCATTACAGTGCAATAACTGGTGGGTGGTGATATGTGATGCAGTGGGATGACTGCAGGGCCAATGTGCCGATCATGACACATTGCACTGTTCACTTTTTTCATTTTTTTTTAGATGAACTTTAATGGAATGTCACACAGTGACACTGTATTAAATTCTGTTGCCACCATGCGGAGCAAGGCAGTGCATTGCATCACACTGCGCTGTGCTGGAAAACAATATGGCCTGGCATACTTTCTTCAGTGCACACCACCCAGTGGGGTTTATTTACTAAAGCTGGAGAGTGCACAATCAGGCTCACTTCTACATAGAAACCAATCAGCTTTCAGGTTTTATTGCCAAAGCTTAATTGTACAAGTTGAGGTTAGAAGCCGATTGGTTTCTATGCAGAAGTGAGCCTGATTGTGCACTCTCCATTTTTAGTAAATAAACCCCCGATGTGTGAGCTGGCCAGGTAGGAGACAAGGCATTTTGCCTTGTATCACGATGGGACTGCACTGGAATAGCCACCCAATGCATTTCTACTGCACTTGGTGTGAATAGATCCTGATTCTAAACAGAATGAGTTAGTACAACTTGGAAAAACTATGACAATTCATATAATGTTTATATCTCATTCTAGACAAATGCGAAGGATACTACTACTGGCGCTGCAGTGGATGTTGTAAACTATGCTTTAAAATTTTTAGTAAGTTTACTGATATTAAAATATTTTTAAATTGGGTCTAATACAAGCTAAAAGCACTTTCCTGTCTATAATCTTGATACTGAAAACAAGAACAACAAACAAAAGCACAATGAAAACTTACTCAGTGGTCAGCCTGCATGACAGTCATACGGGATATGCAATAACCTGAGGAAATATTTCCAGCTTTTCAACATGATGACAATGGAATCTTCTCTCTGACGTATACAAGGTCCAAACATTTTTTTGGCGTCAAGAAAATGACAGGACCTTGTGAATTAAAGAGATGATGTGTGCAGGCTGCCTGTCCCAGTTCACACACTTTGAGGAAGATTTACTGAAAGCAAGTTAAACTTTTTCCCTTAGCTCAGTGAAGGATGTGAAGCTCTGCTGACTTTCATCATCTAATCATGTGCAAACTGAAATACTGTTTTCTTTAATTTTCTTGCATGTGATTGGGTATACTTTGCAAAGTGAATGTTCATCATATTCATTAAGTGAAGGGAAAATTAACTTGCTATGTGAACAGTCTATTTGCCTTTATTAAAATTAACTCCATTATGCCAAACATAGGGAATAAGCAAGCAGTGAGGTTTTAATCAGTGTGCTCAAAATGTTTTTTCAAGCAGATATTATGCAAATACAAGGCTAGATTTTGGTGGAACATAGGCCCACTTCAAGGTGATTGGTTTGAAATACTGACAAAAATAGGTTGCTGTCAAACATTAAAACGTTGTCTGACCTACTAAAAATGTATAATATCATATGATCAGAGCTATTCCACAACCTACTGGGCTGTTAACAGAGGCAAAGTTTCCTGAACAGCCTGGAATGAAAAAAGCAGATTTTTTGCAAAAACCACACTAGTCCACCTTCTCTATTCTCCTAACCTAAACTAACATAAAAACTTCCCACCGTGCTGCTTATGTAGCACTACCCCCTTAGGAACTGGGTCCCCCTATAGTCCTGCAAGGCCAGTCAAGACAAACTTTCATCCGGAGACAGAAACCAGTCCTTAAGCTTTGGTTTTGGTATTTATTGGGGGGATTAGAACTTGGATAGGGTAAGGGGTGTATAGGATGCCCAAGGGAACTGATATCTGAGGACAACGTCCTGAACTATTTACAAGCTTCTCTTCTCTGTTGCAGTCTCTGTTGGAGTGCTAGCCAGCAGCTCCTAGTTGTACCACCCCAGACCCTAGATGAACTCCTCTTTACTTAGCAACTTGGAGACTTTTCCTGAGCAGGGGATCTGGCTCCTGTTCCTTTACATGGGTAACAGTCACTAGTAGGGGACTAATCTGGTTTCCCACCATAGTGCTTCTTCCCTTATGCACCGAGGGAGTACAGGTATGCTCACTCAGATCCTCTCCTGTACCACCTGCAGGATGGCTGCTGGTACCAGGAGCTGGACTGCTCCTTCCCTGCCACACAGGAGGACCTCTCTCAGGGGTCCAGTGAGTTCCGAGCTTTCCTCCTCTCTGACTCCAGGCTCGCAGGCAGACCCCATCCCACTAGGCCTCCTGGAAGCCTTCCTCCTCTAGCCTCACATCGTCCTGCTCCACACTCCTCTCCCACCACCACACTTCCTGCATTGAGCAGGCTACAACACTTTTAAAGGAGTCCCAGCCCCTTGCCAAGCCTTCAGTTGGGGATTGGCTGAGGTCTCTCAAGAGTGCAGCCAGCCACTCCTGAGATCCAGCCGCTGCCTACAAGGCCCTCCTCTGAAAGCCTCAGAGCAGGTTTAAATTCCAGAGGGGCTGGCCTGCACAGTCTCTCAGTCCTGACTAGAATTTGAACCCTCAGGCTCTTTTTAGCTGCTAACTAACCATTAGGGTCTAGCTCACTCTAAACTAAACTAGGGGGGTGCTACACTTCTTTACTGTACTTCAGTGTGATAGCCCTGGCCTCCTCCATTTGTTTACCTCCTTCAGGCTAAAAGCTTTTTCAGTACTGGCTATGCAAGCACAGTGTGCACCATAGACTTGGGATGCTCAATGTCCAAATCTATGAGAGCTTATTGCACAGGTTCGGCCACCAACTGTGCAGTAAGCTCTTGCAAATAATGTTGATATAAAGAAGGTAGATGGCAGAGCATACCTCCCAATCTACCTAAATGTGCAAGAGGTACTTCTTTTAACGTGAATTATGTGGCAAAGGACGCATTCTCCGACCCCAGCTTCATGGACAGTGAAGTATTAATATGCACAAAATGATTAGCACTACTTTTTATCACTGATTTTCCTTTATACTGGTTTTTCTAAAGAACAAATGCAATAATATAGAGGTTGTTTGAAAGATTGCAAAGCAATTCGCCCAGTAATGGTTCTGTGTGAATGGGGGGAAAAAAATAAATGTTATTAGGCTATTCCCTGTGCTGGTCAAATTTTTTCATTGATTTAAAATGAAAAATACTGCATTTGGCCACTAGGTGGTGCTAAGTAACCTAGGAAATAAGTCAAAAGTTTTTTTTTCCCTTAGGCTTAGCATTCCCTGCATTAAAAGAGAAGTACAGCCAAAGCTCTTTTGACTGCACTCCTGTGAGCCACAGGAGAAGTACAGTTTGTTCTGAAGCCCACCGTTGGCTGACATCACTTAGCTGGTCCAGGCTGGGGAAAGATCCTGACTTTAAAGTCGGGATCCACCCCAGACTCTGGAGCAGCACCTGGCTCAGCCTTTCAGCAATCCGCTGAGAGCCTGAGCCAGCTGCTCCCTCCCCCTCCACAGTCCAGTATTCCAGTAAGTGCAGGGAGGGGCAGAGCAGACAGCAGCGACTCTCTCTGCTTAGAGCGGCTGTGAGAACTCAGCAATTAGCGGTCATGTAATTGCTGAGTTTTCACACTTAGTGCTGGTGGGGGACAGATGCAGCATCAGACCAATGTTGCATCCACCTAGGTAAGTATAATTTGTGGGAAAGAAAAACCCCATATTTCTCTTTTCAGTTAACGCCCCCCCCCTCCTACTACTTCTCCTACCCTCATTCCTAAAAACTTACCTGACTCCTGCCACCACACTAATGCTGTCTCAGCTGCAGCGCCACTCCCCTCACTTCCTTGTCTTACAGTAGACATTGAGGGCAAAACGAATCATAGGCTCCTGCTGCTGTCAGTCAAACTTCTGTGAGAAGGGAGAGGGATGTGGTTTACCCACTGCTGTGTGTGTCTGTGGATGCACATAGCTAGGCTTGGGAACACACATGCATGGGTGCCTCCTTTGCTCCCAGGTTGCTAAGGTGGCACCTGGAGAAGGGAGGAGTAGACAGCACCAGCAGAGGACTGCCAGAAGAGGAGGTAAGAGACATTTCTGTGCAATATCGTTGCACAGAGCAGGTAAGTTCAGCGTTTAATGTGTCAAACAGAAATGGGTCACCTATATAGATAATTACTTTCTTTATAGTGGCAGTGCAGGCCCCATGGAACAGCGTATCAATTTGTATTAGAGAGATACTATTACTAACATATAGGATACTAAACAGAGAAAGTGAATGTCAGAACAAACAAAAAAAACTGTACAAAGATAACATAAACCAAGTGTGACTAACCTGTATCAAAGAGGAGAGCACAAAACACGTGTTGCTCACTTGCATTCTGAGTTTAAACTAGATCCACACTTGTGCAGTGCGGGACAACACATGTAATTCGCACCAGAATTGTACCGCATTCCTGTGCACATCACATGTGATAGCTGTGTGGTGCAAGTTGAGCCATACATTTTCTATAGCGCAAATCCCATTGCATCTGCACCAAAATGGTTCCAAACCTTTTTTTTTCCGCACCTGATTCGCATCTCATGGGTGTTCACACTTCTGGCAATTGCACTGCATTTTTCCAATCTATTTTCCAATCTATTTTGGGGTGTCATTATTTTAACATTGACACTCACACCAAATGCAATTCGGTACAAGAAACGCACAGGATTCACTACATTTCTCACACCACATTAGTGTGGTCCAGGTCTGAATGTGAGCTTGTTGGTGTCAATCTCCTGAAGTCACAATACAAATCATTAGAGCTCCCATAAGGTGCAGCCTAGGCATAGCATTACTGGAAGGTTTATTCAATTACTTGCTACAGTAACAAATATCTATGCATTTTTATATTTTAGGAAGATTTAGGATTTTCCAGCACAGTACTCAACTTTACATGCAACCTGGTAAGATCTCTAACAGTATCTTAAATCTTTCTAATTTTCATCTCTGAATAATGCTTCTCTTCAGGCTAAAAATATTTAAATAGGCATAAATCAGCTCGTTGTTCCTATGTACAGTGTCATTGAGCGTATGTATCAAAACTTAGAAACTTAAAGTGTTCCTTTTAGGATTCAATAAAATTTCAGATGTCCTTTCTAGTACATGTAATTGAATCCTAGCCTTTGATTAGTTACTGTGGTAACACAACTGCTGTTCCTCTTAACTACTATATTTTCAGATTTACAAAGTGATTGCATGCACTAATTACAATGTCTGAATATTATTCATCATAAAAAAACATTCAAATGAAACAACTGATTCAAAACAGACCTATAATCACCTCTTCTCCAGTGCTGTGATCCCCCAGAGCTCCTTGCCGGCCGCTGGCATCTTCAGCCTGGTGGCTTCTGGGATTTTAATTAATCCCGGCCATTTAAATTGGCCAGAGCTGAGATGAAGTCACTTCCACACATGCAAGGGAGTTCAGTCATCTCAGCATTGCCAGAATTCTACACTGAGCTAGTCATGTGTCCAGTGTGGACAGGCAGGTAATGGAACATTAATTACAGCTGATATTAAATATCAAGCTTTGGAATTCACAGGTATGAAATGCTCTTCGTAACACAAATGGACTTGTTATAAATATAACATTGTTGCAATAGCTACAGACCATTTTTAGGAAAAAAACATTTTTTTTGCAGTATTCATGTTTCAATTATTTTATCAGCATTTAAAGCCCAATGAAACCCTCAGTTTAAATCAGCTAAATGCAATCCAGGTGCATCAATACAAATGTTTGTTCTCATTCTAAAGCAACCACAGCTTAAAGTAGAAAATCTCATCCCCTGTCATCAGCTGCAAGAGGGACCCTTGTTCTCTATGGAGAAGCAGAGGTCTGACATGCCCCCCCCCACCGAGTCAGCCCTGTTGATTGGAGAGCTCTGCCTCTGACTTAGCGGAGGGCATGTCAGATCTCCGCACCACCTACAGAAAACAAACTGTAAGACTTGCATACCTTTTGCGTTCATGCGCTTGAATTATACTTAGCTAATTTAAACTGCAAGTTCACTTAGACTTTAATAATGATTTCTAACCCTTACTAACACTACTTTATTTTACAGAAATGCCTAGATGAGATTCTCAAGGTATGCATACATTTTTGTTGTATTAGTGCTTTTCTTTGTTTGCCTAATGAATGCAGTCAGTCATTCTAATTCCAATCGGAACTTATAAAAAGGAATTGTTAACTGTTGTGTAATTGGCCGCTAACAGTAGCCGTGAGTTTTTTACACAGGTAATTTATTACCTTAGATTTTAAGTTTTTAAAGGCTAAGTTCACCTTTGAAAAAAAAATATAAATGCACATGTTTTGGCTTCAACTTTTTACCTGGAAATGGCAATTCTGTATAGAGGAGCACCAGATTGTGGGGCTTTGAATTTGGTGAAGGTGCCTACTTGAGCACCCCATGGGCCAACATTTATTCCTTAAAAACACAACATTGTACATTTGCTTTAAGAGTTATGTGATTTAAATAATTGGATCTTTTCATTACAGTCATTGGATGTCTTCTTACTCATATCAAAATGCGTTTGCCAGAAGGTACCGTTCATTAATATGGATAAATGTCATTAATTGTTGTTGCATAATATTAAAAAATAATAATTGGCATCTCTGAAATGTAAGAATACAGGGGTAACTTAAAATATGTTTTTAAACATTGTCTTTTGTCCACAGCAATGCTTGTTTTTGATCGTTTAAAGAGTACATCCAGCAGAGAAAGGTTTTTAATTTCTATAGGGTGGAGAAGGTTTAGGAGCTCTAATTAGATATGCCCTAAAGCTGAACTCTGGGCACAAATAGGTTTATTCAAACACAGCTCTCAACAATCACAAAGGATATAAATCCACTTCATTTGCACCAAATTCCTTTGCAAACCCAGGTATTACCTTGTAAATGTAGCAGTGACATTATCACAGTGTTGTGCATAGCCTGAGCAGGGAGAAGAGCTGTGGGAGGGACCCAGAAGGCCTCACCCACTACAAGCTGTCTGCAAAAAACTACAATAGGTGTGGAGAGAAGACCAGCCACCCCACACAAAGAAAGAGAACAGTAGGGACCAGTCTTTATTACCGAAAGCTGCTGCACAGAGGCAAATGTTAACACTGGATTACTGCACAGATCTGGAAGAAATGGTATCTAGACCATATTTGCTGATCCCTGTTTTAAAATACATGTAAATGCACAGATTTAAAGCCCCTGGCTCAAACCATTGATATTACTTAACATTAAAAAAACAACAGTTTCTTCTTTTTATTTCCTGTGCTATTATTCTGTCATGTGACTGCACTGCTTTATTTCATGTCTCATTCTGTATAGCAGGGTGTGGGCAGTTTATTACATCACATGCAGATGGGGAACTAAGCACCCCATATGGTGCATTTTAGAAGGCTGTGCTTTCTGCGTTCCATGCCTTTACAGGCTGTGGCAGCCAGTCACTGCTGCTCTCTCTCCTTGTGCAGCAGGGTGGCTGGTCTTGTCTCTGTGCTCTTCTGTAGCTTTCTGCAGGCACCCTGTAGTGGGAGGAGCCTGCTAGACCCTCACATAGCACTGCTTTCTGCTGGTATTATCTAGGTTTGTAAAAGTATTTGCACACAAAGTGAACTTATATCCTTTGTGTCAATTGAGAAACATATTTAAATTTGGAGTGGTTGTGCCCAGAGATAAGTTTTGACTTCCTGTAAGGAGAAATATCTAACATCTGTTACCTGGAGAGTTCCCTCACCTGCTGTTCTAGCAACGTTTTTTTTTAACAGTGGGATTTCCTTTCACTTTTTGTCACGATAATATATATATATATATGTATATATAATACAGGTGAAACTCGAAAAAATTAGAATATCGTGAAAAAAAGTTCATTTATTTCAGTAATGCAACTTAAAAAGTGAAACTAATATATGAGATAGACTCATTACATGCAAAGCAAGATAGTTCAAGCCGTGATTTGTCATAATTGTGATGATTATGGCTTACAAATAAAAAATAAAGGTATAGTGAGCGCTCCTATAAGTAGCTGCTAAAACACAAAGAGGCACCAACACTCTAAAAGATCAAAGATATAAAAAGGGTGTAGCGCTAGAAATACATATCAAATATTATGCCAATAAGTCCACATAAAATGATCATAAACGCATGTGAGATCATAAACGAATATAAAGTCTGATAATGTAGCAGATGAACTTGTGACTCCAGCCAAAAGTGAAAAATGCGCACTCACCGGAAGGCATCGATAATGCGCATAAATAATAATCCTCAAGGTATATTGGTCAACACCATAGGAAAAAGTTCACCGGATTGACCAATATACCTTGAGGATTATTATTTATGCGCATTATCGATGCGCTTCCGGTGAGTGCGCATTTTTCACTTTTGGCTGGAGTCAATGAAACTATGAAACATAAAACATTGCACATGGGGTGCAGCAGGAAGGACAATGCAGTGTATAACATAACATATAAAGAGCAGGGGTCAGGACTATGTAACATACAACATAGTATATAGGGTGTAGTGTTTAGTAACATGGTACGTAGCTCATAGAGTGCAATGGTCTGAAGTACATACAACATATTATATACTGTATATAGTGCATAGTTTTTTGGGTTTTTTTTGCTTTTTTTGTAGCACTGATCACTATATTGGTGTTACTGGGGATATCAGTGACACAAAGTCAGTTCCCCCCAGTGTCAGAATGCCCGCCACAGTCCCGCTATGGTCGGTGATTGCCGCCATTACTAGTATTATTTTTAAAAAAAGAAAATAATCCCAGTATATATACTGCCGTTTGTAAACGCTATCACTTTCACATAAACCAATTATTTTTATTGACTTTTTTTTTATAGAGCAAAAAATAAAATATGCAAAAATAAAAGCTGCACTGCTTCCTCCGATATCCTGGCTCTCTGTAAGATGATATTAAACCAGCAGTATAAAGTCAGTGTTGGGAGCAGGCTGCTGGTATATTTATTTTATTTCAGGTACTTATATAGCGCCATCAATTTACGCAGCGCTTTACATATATTGTACATTCACATCAGTTCCTAACCCTCAAGGGGTGAACAATCTAAGGTCCCCAAGTCACATCCATACATACACATACTAGGGTCAATTTAGACAGGAGCCAATTAATCTACCAGCATGTCTTTGGAGTGTGGAAGGAAACTGGAGTACCTGGCGGAAACCCACGCAGGCACAGGGAGAACATGCAAACTGGGATTTGAACCAATGACCCTAGTACTGCCAGGAGGAAGTGCTAACCATTTAGCCACTGTGCTGCCATATAGAAGCTGTGTTGGCTAAAATCTGCCGTTATGACCCTGAGTATGAAATAGCCATACAAGTGACAATTTTTATTGTTGATTATACAGGGTAACAACGCAATACAATCAAATCTGAAATGCTACTTCTTTCTTGTCCTCATGAGTTTGCTTCAGGTCACAAACACAGCCCTAAGTATCTCAGGAAATGCCTTTAATTAGTGGTCTGTTCAGGAAAGCTGATCAATATCCTGCAACCAATAGCATATACCAAACAACTGAAAGAGATCAGTGTGAATCATGCATCTATTTATTATCTCTTTAATGGTCAGTTCTATCTTTTTGATTATGCTTCCTTTGAAAGCACTGTAAATCATTCAGTATTAATTAATTCTAATTCTCTGTACAACTAATAACATTTCTTGCTTTTTATGCAGGTTCATGAAACTGTGGACAATATTCCCATTTCCATGGTGAGACCGACACTATGACTAGTACTTTTTCAGTTTATGTTTAAGATTGCCGTTCTTAGTCTGTAGAGTAAAAAATAAAAAATGCACAGGCAATCAAATACCACCGAAAGAAAGCTCAATTTGTGGGAAGAAAAGGACGTCAAATTTCATTTGAGTGCAGCACAAAACATTTACACAAAAAAATGCCTGGTCAAGAAGGGGGGGGGGGGGGTAAATCCTCAGGAGGGCGAGTGGTTAAGCAAATAACCCTTAATGCATACAGTGCATTGGTCAGGATTATTTAGTGTATAGAGTGCAGTGGTCAGTATAATGTAAAATACTGACATAACATATACAATGCAGCAGAGTACAGGTATCAGTACTATGAAATGCACAACTTGCAGTGGTCAGCAGTAATTTTTCCTTTACATTGGTGATCAGTGGTGTGTTCCCTCAAAAAGCTTGGTGGTCAGTGATGTACACACCCTTACATGTTTCTGGCAAAAAAAATTAAATGTTGATGGCATTTGTACCCCCATAATATTGGTGTTTAGTGGTTTTTATGGACAGAAGAAAAAAGACAGGAGGCGCCCGTCTGAGTGTAGTAATAACACTGTATTTAATAGCAAAGGATTAAAAACACTCACAAAGGAAGTATAAACTCCATGGTGATGAGGTATCGATAATACGAAGAAACAAAACTTCAGCTCTGGCAGCACAGAAATGGCATAGCAAACATATAGCGAAAAACAAGTAACTCTGGCGCACAGGAGCAAAGTAGTGTAAGGGTGAAAAGGATAAAAATTATAAAGTAAAAGATGATAATGGCAATATTGGCATACAAGTACTTAAAACAGGGTATGTAACTGCATTGGTGTACAATAAGTCCTTATAAGAGTCTCTCAGGCAATTGCCATCTTTTATTTTATAATTTTTATCCTTTTCACCTTTTCACCCTTACACTACTTTACTCCTGTGCGCCAGAGTTACTTGTTTTTTACTATATGTTTGCTATGCCATTTCTGTGCTGCCAGAGCTGAAGTTTGTTTCTTCGTATTATTGATACCTCATCACCATGGAGTTTATATTTCCTTTGTGAGTGTTTTCAATCCTTTGCTATTAAATACAGTGTTATTAAAACACTCAGATGGGCGCCTCCTGTCTGTTTTTTTCATCTGTCCCTGCATACAGAGCTGGCTTGCTCTCGAAGATGACTGGCGTCTTTTTGTGCTAAAAAGATTCCAGGCAGATTGCCTGAGTGACTCATAAGGACTTATTGTACACCAATGTATTTACATGCCCTGTTTTAAGTACTTGTATGCCAATATTGCCATTATCATCTTTTACTTTATAATTTTTATCCTTTTCACTTGTTTTTTAGTGATTTTTATGCCTCAATAACATTGGTGTTCAGTGTTATATGTGCCCTTATAACATAAAGATACACATACTCTATATGTGACGTTGAACATGTACTGGATGTAATTTATGGTATATTACATATTCCTTTCATTGGTGGTTAGTAGGAGATTTTTTTTTATTAATTTACTTTATTAATTTGGCATATGAATGCTGTATAACAACAAGCACTGAAGAAGGTACAGACAGTAATGATAATAGCAACACATACATAACATAAAATGCAACACCCATCAGAGGGAGTGTTTACTTGCCTGTAAAAAGCTGCACTGCTTCCTCCGGCCTCCTGGCTCTCTGTGAGATGATATTAAACCAGCAGTATAAAGGCAGTGTTGGGAGCAGGCTGCTGGTATATTTATTTCAGGTACTTATATAGCGCCTTCAATTATGCAGCGCTTTACATATATATTGTACATTCACATCAGTCCCTAACCCTCAAGGGGTGTACAATCTAAGGTCCCCAAGTCATATCCATACATACACATACTAGGGTCAATTTAGACAGGAGCCAATTAATCTACCAGCATGTCTTTGGAGTGTGGGAGGAAACCAGAGTACCCGGCGGAAACCCACGCAGGCACAGGGAGAACATGCAAACTCCAGGCAGGTGGTGCCATGGCTAGGATTTGAACCAACAACACTAGTACTGCCAGGCGGAAGTGCTAACCACTTAGCCATTATGCTGCCATATAGAAGCTGTGTTGACTAAAATCTGCCATTATGACCCCGAGTATGAAATAGCCATACAAGTGACAATTTTTATTGTTGATTATACAGGGTAACAACTCAATACAATCAAATCTGAAATGCTACTTCTTTCTTGTCCTCATGAGTTTGCTTCAGTCACAAACACAGCCCTAAGTATCTCAGGAAATGCCTTTAATTAGTGGTCTGTTCAGGAAAGCTGATTAATATTCTGCAACCAATAGCAAATACCAAACAACTGAAAGAGATCAGTGTGAATCATGCATCTATTTATTATCTCTTTAATGGTCCGTTCTATCTTTTTGATTATGCTTCCTTTGAAAGCACTGTAAATCATTCAGTATTAATTAATTCTAATTCTCTGTACAACTAATAACATTTCTTGCTTTTTATGCAGAATAAAGAAAATATGAAGACGTTTATCACATTCCTGGTGAGACCGACACTATGACTAGTACTTTTTCAGCTTATGTTTAAGATTGCCGTTCTTAGTCTGTAGAGCAAAAAATAAAAAATGCACAGGCAATCAAATACCACCGAAAGAAAGCTCAATTTGTGGGAAGAAAAGGACGTCAAATTTCATTTGAGTGCAGTGACATAGCACAAAAAATGGCCTGGTCAGGAAGGGGGGGGGGGTAAATCCTCAGGAGGGCGAGTGGTTAAGCAAATAACCCCTAATGCATACAGTGCATTGGTCAGGATTATTTAGTGTATAGAGTGCAGTGGTCAGTATAATGTAAAATACTGACATAACATATACAATGCAGCAGAGTACAGGTATCAGTACTATGAAATGCACAACTTGCAGTGGTCAGCAGTAATTTTTCCTTTACATTGGTGATCAGTGGTGTGTTCCCTCAAAAAGCTTGGTGGTCAGTGATGTACACACCCTTACATGTTTCTGGCAAAAAATTTAAATGTTGATGGCATTTGTACCCCCATAATATTGGTGTTTAGTGGTTTTTATGGACAGAAGAAAAAAGACAGGAGGCGCCCGTCTGAGTGTAGTAATAACACTGTATTTAATAGCAAAGGAATAAAAACACTCACAAAGGAAGTAAAAAAATCCATGGTGATGAGGTATCGATAATTCGAAGAAACAAACTTCAGCTCTGGCAGCACAGAAATGGCATAGCAAACATATAGTGAAAAACAAGTAACTCTGGCGCACAGGAGCAAAGTAGTGTAAGGGTGAAAAGGATAAAAATTATAAAGTAAAAGATGATAATGGCAATATTGGCATACAAGTACTTAAAACAGGGTATGTAACTGCATTGGTGTACAATAAGTCCTTATAAGAGTCTCTCAGGCAATTGCCATCTTTTATTTTATAATTTATAATTGTACATTCACATCAGTCCCTAACCCTCAAGGGGTATACAATCTAAGGTCCCCAAGTCACATCCATACATACACATACTAGGGTCAATTTAGACAGGAGCCAATTAATCTACCAGCATTTCTTTGGAGTGTGGGAGGAAACCGGAGTACCTGGCGGAAACCCATGCAGGCACAGGGAGAACATGCAAACTCCAGGCAGGTGGTGCCATGGCTCGGATTTGAACCAACAACGCTAGTACTGCCAGGCGGAATTGCTAACCACTTATAGAAGCTGTGTTGACTAAAATCTGCCATTATGACCCCGAGTATGAAATAGCCATACAAGTGACAATTTTTATTGTTGATTATACAGGGTAACAACTCAATACAATCAAATCTGAAATGCTACTTCTTTCTTGTCCTCATGAGTTTGCTTCAGTCACAAACACAGCCCTAAGTATCTCAGGAAATGCCTTTAATTAGTGGTCTGTTCAGGAAAGCTGATCAATATCCTGCAACCAATAGCAAATACCAAACAACTGAAAGAGATCAGTGTGAATCATGCATCTATTTATTATCTCTTTAATGGTCCGTTCTATCTTTTTGATTATGCTTCCTTTGAAAGCGCTGTAAATCATTCAGTATTAATTAATTCTAATTCTCTGTACAACTAATAACATTTCTTGCTTTTTATGCAGGATAAAGAAACTGTGGGCAAGATTCTCAATCTCATGGTGAGACCGACACTGTGACTAGTACTTTTTCAGCTTATGTTTAATACTGCCGTTCTGAGTCTGTGAATCGGTTTGTCAGATGTGCAAAATAATATATGTGTGCTTATTCTTACAATTTGTTTTCAGCTGTTGTTGCAGAGTGAGACCCTTGCTCTCTTTGTGTCTCTGGATAAGCTGTGCAGAGGTGTGATATGCCCTCCTACTTATTCAGGCCTATAGCACTGCAAGCACAAAGCTCATGCTCACCGGTGATTGGAGAGTGCTGGATCTGACTCAGGAAGAGGTGTGTCTGACCTCACTACTTCCACACAGAGATCAAGGGTCCCACGCTGTAGAATGCTGGCAGGAGACAGACTTTGCTACTCAGGCTGTGACTACTGTAAAACATAGAAAGAAAGAAAACTCAAAGACTTTGTACACCCTTTGCTTTGATACATGTGGAATCTATTTAACCAATTTAAAATGAAAGTTCAGTTGGGTTTTAGCATGTCTGATCTGGAGGCATAGGAAAAAAAGCTGATGCTGTCTGTGTGTGTGTCACTGACAGTCTGTCACAGTGGGGTTGATTTACTAAAACTGGAAAGTGCAAAATCTGGTCCAGCTCTGCGTAGAAACCATTTTCCAGGTTTTATTGCCAAAGCTTAATTGAAAGCTGAAGTTCGAAGCCAGTTGGCTACCATGAAAAGCTGCACCAGATTGTCTTCTCCAGTTTTAGTAAATCAACCCCACAGGGTGTTTGAGATGCAGGAAACCAGTACTCCATGTTCATTCAATTAGCTTCTGTACTAAGATTCATGACCTGGAAGTGATGTCTGAAATTACTTTTGGGTAGTTAGCCTGGATCACATCAGAGATTTCCATCACATAAGAGTAACCCCTTCACATTAGAGTCAGCCTCCAACGCATTAGCATGCTCCCCCCTATCAGAGTCATTCCCCTCTTCACAACAGAGTCCTCCTTCACAAAGAGAGTCCTACCTGCAAAGCTTTACTGCGACTGTAGGATCATGGAAGAGTAAGGGGAGCAGAGTAGGTCTAGACAGAAGCAGCACTTCTGTTCTGAATGCCCCTCCCCCCCATATCAATGTCATTCATTTCCATTGTGCGAGTGGGCTGGCTGCCAGAACCATAGTGGTGTATGGGCCACAATGCCCCCTGGCCCCTCCGCTTCCTGATACTGATCTCAGGTCCTGGGGGAGCATGGCTGAAATCTGGGGGCCCTGATCTTTCTGCATTCATACAAATATAAGTGTGTCAAGTTCTGCAAGGCAACATTTGGAGACTATGCATGCAAAGATTTTCACTCTGATGCCCACTAGAACTTCATGAACCATTGGACCCCCTTTCCACTAGTTCCCATCTACCGCTTATGTAGCCAATACCTATAACTGTACACTAAATTTATAGATTTAATTATTGGTAAACATGAGGAAATGGCAGTAGCTATTTGTTGTATACAGAAGTTTGTTTTGTATATTCCTTATTGTGATCTGTAATTAAGAAGAATTTCTATTAACTGAAGTATTTATTTCTTTCAAGGCTAAATGTTTTCCACCTGGTACAGATTTGGTATGTTTTTTTTTTTTTTATAGCTAAACACACTTACTAAAAAAATTTTAAACATATTATTTTATTCCACAATTGCCAAATATAAGTATATCATACAGTGTATAGTTATTCTTTTTAAGAGACTGTATCATGAAGCTGCTTCAGAGAAATACCTTTTTAAAAATGAAGTATGGCTTAAGGCAGGAGTAGGCAACCTTACAAAAAATAGCCACTACCTCAGTCTATAACTGGCCTTCACAGCAAGGAGCATATGGAAGGGTGACGCATGTCAAACAACAAAAAAGAAAAAATTCCCAGCTCATCTTACCAACCAGCTTGCAAACAAACCGAATGAGCCTGTCTAACAGTATGCACTAAAAAGAGGGGTTTAGTTAGCACACATTTGCAAAGCTGCAGAGCTTTTTCACGGCACCCTGATATTCTGCAGTTCCTAACTCTACAAATTTTGAGAGCCCCCATAGTAGAGGCACCTGTATTTAATGGATAGACCAAGGGCAGGTGAACCTAAGGGAGCCCACTCCTCCTTTAAGGTACAGGAGCGCACTGGACACCCGGCATATAGCACAATTGCGGCCAAGGTGGCCAGTGTGCCCCCTCACCAACAAGTAGGCAACCTTTCAGAGGTTGGGAGCTACCTGGACAACATGGAGGAGAGTAGTGTCCTCTGCCCCCCTTCACATCACCCTCCCCTTCCACAGTAGTGTCTTCTGCCCCCATCACATCACACCGTATAGTAGTATCCTCTGCCTCCCCCCCCCCCATAGCAGTGACCTCTACCCCCCTTCTTATCACGCCCCTAGTAGTGTCCTCTGCCCCCCATAGCAATGTCCTCTCTCCCCTCCCCTTACAGTAGTGTTGTGTACCGCTCCACCGTAGTGTCCTCTACTCCCCCATAGCAGTGTCTTCTGCCCCTCTGCCCCCTGAAATCATTGTCCTCCTCTTCCCAATTCCCCAACACAATGTCCTCTGTCCATTTCTCATCACCCCCCACTGTAGTACTGTAGTGTCCTCTGAACCTCCTTCAGTCTCCTCTCTGCCCCCCCCCCCAACAGTGTATCCTCTGCCCCCCCTCCAACAGTGTTTACTTCACATCATCCTTCCCCCCCTCACTGCAGACACAGCACTCTGTGGGTAGCACTTCCTACCTGCCAGTGTGTGTACAGCAGAGCGGAGACCAGGAGACAGCATAGTGCTGGATGGAAGGCAGGAGCGGGTGTTAACATTTCATAAGAACAAGCTGGTGATTGGTTGCTAGGACTGCCTAGCATCCAGTTGCTGAGGCACCTCCCACCCCTGCCCTTTGACCAGCATTGTGATTCCACCCACTCACTGCTCTGCAGAGAACATGAGAGTGGTGGAGGCTGGGGGAGGCAGGGTCATGGTCACGATCCCTGTAGTTGACGATTGATGGCTCCCAACCCCCCATTTAACCATTTGTGGCCATTCTCCTCTTCTGTGTAACAGGGGGGCACTTACTTGTGCTCTACTGTGACCCAGAGTTAGCAGACAGCAGGCTAATGCACACTGTCTGCTGATGTCACAGAGCCGCTCCAGGCTCTGGAAAGATCCTGGCCATACTGTTAGGTTATGTGTGATCAGCAGCCTGGTGCTCCAGTGAGCACTGGAGGGGCTGTGTAGAGAGCAGTGACTGAAAGTCGCTTCTGTGCACTCTAAGCAGACCAAGAATTCTCAGTTCATGGGCATAGAACTGGCTGATGCTGCAGCATGGAGGGGAGTATGGATGGACTTTCCCTAATGCAATAGACTTCTCACTGGTCCAGCCGGTGCTGGAACAACCCCATATTAAAATGTAAGTGGTCATTTAGTGATCCTATCACTAGCACATTATCGCCAGCACAGAATTGCTCCTCTGACATTGCCCCTATAAAGCAAAGCAAGCAAAGAAAAAGACAAATATCTGGGTTGATTTACTAAAGGCATGTAGATTATTCACTCTACGGTTCTCCTTCATCCAGTCATGTGCAAGCAATAATGCTGTTTTTTTTTTTCATTTCCTTGTATATGATTGGATATTCTTTGCAAGTAAAATTGCATCACGTTTACTAAGCTTCCCTTGCAAAGTGAACCACTTATTTGTCTTTAGTAAATCAACCTTGTAGGCAGGTTGATTGTTGCCTCCACTGTAGGTGGCGCTCATACTGAGTGGCACCTCAACCTGGAGAGGAAGCCCAAGAGAAATAACGATTCTCTATGGTTTGTGGGGTTAATGGAGCAGCATTTCAGTTGGCTACACTGCAACCACATGACCCTCGGTACCCATCTTAGGTCATCGGGGTCTATTTAAGCGCCTGCCCCTGGTTTTGGCATGCTTCTGGTGTGTGGCTAGTGTAGAGAGAGAGACCCCGCTTGTTACAAAAAGTAACTTCATTAGGATATGGACATGTTTTAGATAACTGCAGTACCACATTTAAACAGCAGAGGGAGAAGTTATAAATCAAACTATGAAACTGACCAATCTGTCTAATAATTTGTCTCTTTACTGCTTTGGAGTAACCAAATCTTAACCAGGGGCGGACTGACAACTCATGGGGCCCCCGGGCAATAGGGGGATCATGGGGCCCCTGTGTCCTTGCCCAAACTCAAAAAAGCCTATGAAAAAAAAAAAAAAGTGTACCAGGGGCATCTCATGGGGCCCCCTACTGACCCCGGGCCCTCGGGCAGTGCCTGAGTTTCCAAATGGTCAGTCTGCCCCTGTTCTTAACATAAACATTTTGTATTAGGAGTGGCAGATTTAGTTCTTTGTAGCTACTAAATAACCTAAAGAAGGATTGCATGCATTATAAATGCACTCCCCACAGCTTCACATAAACCCTTCCATGGCCAGGGGTCAACTATACCTAGATGCCCAGACCAAATCTAGCAACATCAGCATGCATTAGTTAACTTGGCAATAAATCTATAACTAAAATCACTGAACCCAGCAGTACAAAGTAAGAAAAAAAAAAAAAAAAAAGTCACACAGGTGGTTGTTGAGGGATTTCAAGCAGAGATCAGTCTGCAACCTTTCCCCCTCCTTTCTAAATTGTGGTAATAGATATTCCTGTAGGTAAAGGCAGTCAAAATACAATAGGCACAGTGGGGGATTCATCCATCCACACTGTATGGTGTAGATAGCAGAATCTGTTATTTTTCAGGCTGAACAAAAAAAAAAAATCAGTTTATTGACAGCTCAGAGAACACATCCAGGTTCATTTTCACTTTTAATGGTTCACTGGGCTAAGCTGACCCAAATGAACTATTTCCATTACATAACGATGCAGCCGCTGTCTGCTGTAGTGGGCGGTATTAATATTAGCTACATACAGTAAGCGACATAGCATTACGGGTGAATTAAAGAGAGTCGGATTGAGTACTACTCTGCCATTCAGGAGAAGCCTTGTCTTTTTATCAGTAAATACAAGGCTTTCTGATTGGTTGAGGTGAAAATAGTGACATTATCCTCCCGCCAACCCGACAAGGGTACTAATCCTTACCCACTCTTTTCAAAACTAAAAAACAAATATTCCAAAAACTTTATAGCTAAACTTTTGCAATCAGGTCCCATTCACACCAAAATGCACTGCAGCTGTGATCTGCAGCGGGTATCAGTGTTAACTTAACAACATCCCACATGCAGGTCGCAAACACAGTGCACTTGTCTGCATAAGATCGCAGCTGATGAGCACCGTAGAGAGGCAGCTGCATAGATGGAGTAAGTCTGCCTGAGCCAGGAATAAGGGAAGTATTATACCTTATCCCTGCACCCTTAGACTACACAAGCATTTAACCCATGCAGTGCAGAAGGTAGGTCCACTGCAAGGATAAAATTTGTTTACCCACAGTTCAGCTTTTACTGACTTTCCATAATTTAACAGACAGTTGGCAACTCTGGGGTGGACATTGGCCCTTTAGGAGCCCAGAGGCCTGGACTGGCCACCCCTATATGGATCGCTCAATGGCACTCTGTAGTTTTAGGCCTTACAAATTTCCTAGATCCTAGACACTGTGCCTACAAAGTACCTCATTAAAAGTCAGCTCTGCTCAGCTTATCACAACTTTCATTTGCAAAGACTGTTAAAGTATTCATCTGAAGGTAAATTTGTCTGAAAGTAAAAACAAATAATCACATCATTTCATGGAGGCAAAAGCTTTATGTGACCACTTATGAGTCTTTTCCACAAAGTTCTCAGGCATGCAATTTTAGTAATATATATATATATATATATATATATGAAAGGGGTGATTTAACTTGAACACAAAAAGCAAAAACATTTTTGAGGAACATGCTATAATGTAAAAATGTAAATAATGCAATTTGAATTTACAATCGGATTTTGAAAATAATGTGTTTATTTTTTTTAGACTGGCCTGCCTGTTATAGTTACAACAGTCATGATCAATACAATTATGGTATGATATTACTAAAACATAATTTTTCTGTAGTATCTCTTTTTCCTGCTTTTAACTAAAGATGGATATATACTAGTAGATTTTCAAACAAAAAGGTTTATAAACATTTGAACGGAAATTCTCAGTACATTCCATAGCGTGACAAATGTCATTCAAAAGTAGTTGAAAATATAGTTTACTTTTAACATTCGATTTTGGAACAACTAGATTTTACTGAACGAAATCTGCAAGCACTGTTTCAAATTTGTTTGTGTGAGAATTTTATCATCACTGCAGTCGACAACACACATCAATTTGAACCCACTAATGATTAGAAAATCAAACATTCCTAAAACAGCAAATTTCAAACAAGATTCTACTAGTGTATAGCCAGCTGAAGTCTTTAGGTTTCCTAAAATTAGTATTGCTTTGATAATATTAGTTGTCCAGCACCAAACAATAATATTAATACAAATGGTCAACGAGGATCATACAATTGTATAGTTCTCTAGGGCAGCACAGTGGCTAAATGGTTAGCACTTCTGCCTGGCAGTACTAGAGTCATTGGTTTGAATCCCAGCCACAGCACCTCCTGCCTGGAGTTTGCATGTTCTCCCTGTGCCTGTGTGGGTTTCCTCCGGGTACTCCAGTTTCCTCCCACACTCCAAAGACATGTTGGTAGGTGAATTGGCTCCTGTCTAAATTGGCCCTAGTATATGTACGACTGTGAGTTAGGAACCTTAGACTGTACACACCCCTTGAGGGTTAGGTACTGATGTGAATGTACATTATATATGTAAAGTGCTGCGTACATTGATGGCACTATATAAGTACCTGAAATAAATAATTCTCTATATACAGTAAAATGGTTAAACCGGCCTGCAGAAATTGACAAGCTCTGCCTATGTGTTGCTTGATACCGGAAAATGCTGGAAAAAAAAGCAAAGTACCTATATTATGACCAAACCACTCATTCAGTCATTGTGTTTACCCACCCAGCACTGAGAATGAACAAGGAGGAAGATGTCTATGTTTAATTATGTGGTGGCTGCCTATTCACCTCTGCTGCCCAGATCAGTTTGTGGAAGTTTCCAGATACCAACCTAAACTAGTGACACCTCCAGTGTTACAAACTGTTGAAGTTCCAGTTTCAAATGCTTTCTGTTCTGCTGACAGCAGTTGTCTTCAATGGCTGCACAAGCAAAAACAAAAAAAGTTTCTCAGAGTAGGGGGAAGAAAGGTATCCCTGTAAGCTTTGTATTACTATCTGTCTCTACTGAAGTTTGACAGTGGGACGGGAAGTAAGCGGAAATCTCTGTAATAGTATAAGCCTACAATAAAACCTGGACTTGGACTTTATGGTGTGTCAAATGCAGTATATAATATCTATTTGTATATGTATGCATGTATAATATATATTTACTATTAACGTATTTCTCTTTCACAGGTGAAGGAAACATGTATATCTATACAGAAGCTTAATTGTGTAGCGGTAAGAAGTTACATTTGTCATGTTTCATTTTTATTTCTTTAAAAAAATATGCATTTTTCTTTGGTGGGGATGCATACCAGTAAGATCTTGAAAAAGCATAAAATACTTTAAAGTCTTGTAGTAGTAGTACAGGGAATTTATACCATTTGCTTTCTGCAACTACTTCACTTTTACTGTTTCTGACCGTTTTTTGGCAATGAAGACTTCACAGCAACAAAAAAATGAATAATTAATTCCTTGTCCCATGTGATATTCTCTTAGAAGCACCATGGTCAGACACGTAGATTTTGTGAAGAGTGGGTATAGTACACCGCTAACTAATTGGAAAGAGGCACCTCTACCATCTCAGACGTTCAGAAAGTCCTGGATGGGGCTAATTTACTTTATAATTGCATTGTTGCAGTAGGGCAACCAAAAAAAGGAGAGAGTCTTCCAAAATTTGGATGGCCAGGAACAGGCCAGTGAAAGCTGTTAAATCAGCTTCAGGATCAGAATCAAGATCAGGAGTCGTGTAATGGTTAAGAGTGGTGTGGCAAAGGAGGAGAAGCAGTGGAGATCCAGGTATGGAAGCAAATAGTTTAGAGGACCAGTGGAACACTCATATCCTCTGGACACACATTATTTAGTAAAATAACTAGTGTTCATAGGTGGCCTGGTACATCACAGGTATGCTTCACACAGAGGGCCTGGACTAGTAGCCTATGTTGTCTATATAATAAAAAATGACAACGTCTTTGGTTATGGTAATGGCAATTAAATATAGAATACAAAAGAAAAAAAGACAGGCGTAAAACACATCCAGTGCTAGGGAATATAAAGTCAAACAGTGAATTAGCAAACAATGAAGACATCATAAAACACCAATTCCGATTATGATGTGTTACTTATGCCCACGTGCAACAGTCATAGCAAAGTCTGGATGCAACTTGACTGATCTATAGAATTTCACATATGAAAAGCCCAGGGTCAGAGCTTGCAAATCATTCTATATATATTGCCAGAGATGGATGCATCAGAGATGGCCACTAGAGGGAGATGTGCCAACAGGGAGCTTCCTTGCTGCTCAGCGGTGCTACCCGCTCCCTACTGTCTGTGCTGTGGATGTGCCCTCAGACAGTGGAAGGTTTGGTCTGCAACAATTCTATCTTGGACATTTCACCACGTTTAGTGTTGATTTTAGAGAACAGGATTTCTATTTGTTTTTTGTCTGTAGTTTAATACAGATCTGCTTTCTTTTCCTCAAGCAGAGTGAGACCAACAAGATTGCAAGTTCCATAATAAAAGGAATTTCTAAAATCTCGTAAAGAAAACTCTAAGGTAAGTTCCACCTTAAGGTGTGAAATATATACAATGAGCCTAGCTTTGAAATCAGACTATTTTACTTCATTATTAGCTACTGGAAGAAACAGTACATGAATATAATATTTTTACAATTGCCTTTTTTTATTTTATAACCAAGTACAACCAAACCAAATGTTTTATTAATTCCAAGATTGTAAATTTGTATGGAGAACAAATTGACAGAAAAAAATATTGTATTTAAAAGCAGCACTGAAATATAAACTTAAGTGAAAAACTCACCTGTTATGATAATTTTCAGTGAACACCCAGGCTATGGAGTTTACTATCTGTACCTTCCAGCCCAGGCAATTTAACAAGTAGTGGAGATCAACACATCAAAGATGCCATGAAAAGACAATTTTTTTCAACAGATATCATACAGGTTTCAGACTATTAGATCCTCTGCTTATGTCTTGAAACATTTACTCTATCGGTGCTCTTAGTATGTCTGTTCGAATAATTTTCCTTTTTTTAGGGGAATTATTTGATGTGTTGACCTCCACATCATGGTAGATAAAAACATCTAGATGGAACAGAGAATGATTGCAACCTGAAAACAAAGAAACGTTTATGATAAAGACCTAATAAAGTGTCTGAAAATATCTGAGTTTTCCATTCTATACATAGGAATAAAATCAGGCATTACAAAAATCAGAGCTTTTGTTAGGGGGTACAACCTGGGAACCTGCCTAGGGGCCCCAAGTTTCTAAATGTTCTCATCCTTCAAATGAAGTATACTTTCATATGATTTCTAAAAAAGAAAAAAAAAATGGTTTGCATTTGAAGCCAGACTTAACGCTACGTTCACACCTATGCAGTTTGCATTTGATCCATTTCTGCAGTGCTTTTTGTAGTTTTGCATATGCGTTTTTGCTGAGTTTTTTTATGCATTTTGCAGTTTTTTGTTCCAACTTGTTGCTGGGCAGATTAAAATGCAAAACGCATCAAAGACGCACTGTGCTTTTCTGCAGCATCTCCACTGAAGTCTATAGAACAAAAAATGCAACCTTTTGCATTTAAAAAAGTCCCTGACCCTTTCCAAAAAACACACCAGGTGAAAACTTAGAGATATGAACCTGTCCCATAGGAAATCATGTTACATGGACTGCTGTACATTTGTGCAAAATGCAAAAAAAAAATGCATAGGTGTGAACCTAGACTAAGTGCTTCTGAACTGCTTCATGCTTCCCTTTACCTTGCTTTATGCAGCTTCTGAATGCATCCACATTGATTTTTGAGGGGATATAAGCAGTTCAGATGACGTAGTAAAAGATATGTTCAATTTAGTAAAACAAGTGTGTATTGCTCCATATGACCCAGTTCAAACTTCAATCCTTCCAAACTGCCACCACGTTTGTCAGAAGCAAACACACACCCAAGTACACAAGCATTTAGTGTATAGAATTAAATGGATTATTCAAGAAAGGTCTGGGCTTGTACCTGTAGTTTCTTGAAATAGGGATGTGCAACTAAGAACGAGAGGGGGAATTGATAAAAAGTGTCTGAAACAAGTTGTATCTCAGCTGGTGCCCTTCCCCATAGCAACCTGCTTCTATATTTTATTTTTCCCATCCAACTTAGAAAATAAAAATGTAAAAGCTGATTGGCTGTGCTCCAGTTAAAACAATCTTTATCTCAGACAATTTTTTCATAATTAAATGATGTTTGTATTTTTTTTAATTTTAGAATTTACTTTTTTTAATAGATCATAAATGCAGAACAAAAGCAAAAAAAAAATGAATGTCTGTATAGACAAGCCCTAATGTTATCTACACATATGCAGTGGGGCCCACATGTGCCTGACCCTACTGTCCCTGTACCAAACAATGGCCACTCTGCTGATGCTCAAATGACAGCTGGAAGTTTTGTGGTCCTGCTCCCCGCTTCTGACTGACAACAGCCAATCAGAAGCTGCCAGAGGGACCATAACAATCCACTATCAAATCAGCAGTAGTAGCAGCGTATAGACTAGTATGCATCAGAAGAGCATTTAGCACTTTTTTCTCTATTAGCTGAGGACAGCCAATAGAAAAAAAAAATAAATCCAGCCTATAGGGGATACTATAGCAAATCATTTCAGCCTATGGAGAGAAGAGTGTCGTACATAACGCAGCTAGCAGTGTGTGAGGTGCAATGGGGTTGGATGACAAGCACACTGACATTTCTCTTTACTGTACTAAGTGTATAATTCAACACCCTGTACTATTCACTGTGTTTTAAGAGTCAGTAACAACTATTTCCAGCTCTGCCAGGGCTCCTATATGCCCCCCATTAGCACCTGATATAAAATGGCACCCACTGTCTTCTAAAATCACAAATCTGAATATTGTATTTATTTTATCACAATTCTTCTAAAGCAAGCCATAGATTATGTTATTTTATTCCCTGCAACCACGGGTCGTAGAAAAGAAAATTGCTTGTTTCCCCCATCAACACAGTGCTATCGTGTTCTGCAGGTGGGGAGCCTTCCCTGCCAGCAGAACACAATGATTATTGCTAGCAGCTATAGCCGCCGCCAGTAATCACATTCAAAAAATCTGATAGGCTGGTTGTACTGAAGTCAATCGATGGATCAACTTCAGTACAACCAGCCTGTCCATAGATTGATCAAATCTAAGCCAGTCCCTGCTGAACCAGCTGAGGATCGATCCATCTATGGCTGGCTTAACATTGGAAGAACTCGTTCCAAATAAAAAGGCTTAATAGCATATTTCATCTGTACAATACTGATATCACATTATTTTTTTTACAGGATCTCCACTGTTTGTGACATGAAAAGAAATCCTTCACATGAATACAATCAAATACTGAAAATCCAATCAATACTCTCTTTAATTTTTTCCTAAATCAAGCCTCTCTAAAATTAATATTAGACAGCTGTCTGTACTTTCTCAAATGATTAATCAATAAATTCATTGCATATCAATCTATGTGTTAGTAATTTCTTATCATAGATTTCTTCAGTTATGCCTTGAAAAATGCAAATATATACAGTAGTCAATATTAACTCAGGCCTATTAATAATTAAGTGTTCTTGCATGGCAAAACCACTTACTGTTATCTCACATATATATTCTTATTATTATAGCCAAATTTACCACCCTAACTCCTCCCACAGTTATTACACTACATAGACAGTAATATACTGAAACGTGCGGATTGTTCCCGATTGGTGTGCTATTACTTTGTGGAACGTTTCGCCGAATGGTTCACGAAATATCAGCGTTTTTGTGGTGAAATTGGTCCCATAGGAATGAATGGCGGAATGTTCAAAACTAGAGTGGGTAGAGTGGGACTGCCCAGTCCAACCTTTCCACAGTTAATCCAACCACACAACAGTTACACCAGTCACACAATAGTTACTCAAGCCACTCCACCCAGTTACTCCGCCCACTCCAGTTGTAGACTACTGGTGGAGGCAAGAACACTTCACACAATTTCCCCAGAAATTGTAGCTTTTCTAGTATTATATTTATTATTGCATTAGGCATACATATTATAGTAAGGGGACTAGTCATCACTGTTATCACACAACTGTCGCCAAAAAACACACACACTTTTCACATTGGATTGTATTAGAAAAACGTGAATCTTGGGTGAAAGTTGACAAATAGACCACTTAGAGTCACATGTTTCTTACATGAAAATGTCACCTGTAAATTCTCCTTCATCCTTCCCAAGTATTGTGTCAAGGAATTCAATTACAATTAACAATTAGAAAGTTGCTGAGGGGTCTCTGACACATGGTATATAAAAGCCCAGGCAAACGCTTTCACTACACAACTGCTTTCATTAAAAATTTGAAAATGTGTAAAAGTGATCTTTAAGTTAATTCCATGCAAAAAAACTGTCAAACATATTCCCATAATAGCTACAAATATATACCCACTTTGTGTAAATCAAAAACCTCTGCAAACCCAGATATTATGTAAAAGTAAGTGACATTACCACTGTGCTGCACGTTATTAGGTATTATTGGATGTTTATAATTTTTAACTTTACATTTTTTTATAACCTTTCTAGTTATTCAGATTCTTTATTTTGTGAATACTATTTATTATAGGATGCAGCCACAACGTGCATTGTGGATTTTCTAAATAGAGAACACAGCAGAAGCTGCTTCCAGGCTCTCTTTCAATTAAAATACCACACAGTGCTGTACAGAGCAGACAGAAAAAGGTGAAAGGAAAGGGAATTAGTCACTTCTCTCACTCATTTGTCTGTGTGTTAATAACCTGAGCTTGAGTTATTGAGCTCTTTAAAGTGCAACTTCACTTGAAAAGTGAACAGCTTTTTTGCATTTAGTAAATCTACCCCATATTCTCTATGTAGATTTGGATTTCACAAATGAATCCCAGAACTTGTGAACCCAGTCTCTAGACCCCAGTATGTTGCTGTTTCCTGAATCTGGTTAAGCCTTCACACTGAAAGTAAATATTTATAAATTACATTAAACTTATGCACATGTGAACTGCCAATTAAGAAGGTGCTATGTACTGGACAGTTGTAGCAACTTTTACAACCTCTAATAAAGCCAATAAATATATGTTGTGCTGTTATTGGGTTTAAATGCAGTAGACAGAAGTCTTTTCCACATCAAGTGTCAATGTACACGCTTAGATGAAGGGCATGCCACTGAATAATAGCGCATAGTAAACCTCAGGTCAGCCCCAATTCATGCACCTTCAGACCTCAGATCAGCCCCAATTTCCACAGCATCGTAATGGAGGAAAAGGGATTTTTCACATAGCAACGTCTGTAGCCACAGGCAGGCCTATATTACTCCAAAAACCTCCGCTACAAATAAATGAAAAACAAAAAACAGTTTTTCCTCTATGTTAAAGAATAATGTTACACATTATATGTTAAACCCATTTTTAGAGTGGAACATGTAACATGTTCCCATAGCCGCAGCCGGGCCCGCCCCCCCTGCCAGCCCTCCTCCCTCTGACAGATAGTAGGGGGAAACTTCTCCCCTTACTATCGAATTTGAAACTAGCGGGGCTGTGCGGGGCTCACAGTGTTCTGTGAATGAGTGCCTACAAGTCCCAACAGCCTTAGTGGCTGCCGACTTGTACTTTTCACTGAACTACCACGGCGCTGTAGTAATTCATTAAATTTTCCTGTCAGTATATCTGCTTGATTGGCAAGCAGATATTCTGACAGGTCTGCAGAAGACCTACATGGCATCAGCGATCTACTGATCGTTAGTGCAATGCTTTACAGGCTCCTTCGGACAAATATAATAAATGTACATTTTATTACCTGCAAAAAAATGTGCATTTATTATTTTTGGCTAAAAGGTGAACTTATCCTAACCTCCCTGGCGGTATGATTATTTCAGATTTTTGGTGCTGAAAGCGGTACCATTTTTTTGCATGGAAATATGTATTTTTTTTTTATTGTAGGCTGTAATTTTTAGGAAAAACTCACTGAAATCTGTCCGAACAAGAGTCTAGTAAACATCCCGGGTATGATAAAATTTGAAACACAAAATCATAAATTATAATTTAATAAATAATCATAAAAATAATATAAAAATAATAAAAAATTTAATTCAATAATATAATCAAACCAAAAACACTGAAATGTGAAATAGAGCGCCAAGTTCGCACATTGCTGAGCAAAGTCGCAAAATCGTTTTCAGTGTCTGATGACGAATTTCCCCCACGAATCATTATCACTCAATTCTGCAAGTGGTTCTGATTTACTATCGCTGTTCTCTAGCTGATCTAAACCGCTTTTGACCTAAAGGGACACTTTTTGGACGCCATGGAGATTTCTCAGTTTCCAGGCAGAAAGAACAGACAAAATGCAGGCAGGGCGCAGGACAAAGAACTAGGGACAAAATGTATGTGAAATTGGTTGAGACAGCAATGTTTTACTATGTAAAATGTAAAAAAAAAAAAAATGACATTTTTTAAAATTTTTAAATTTCCCGCCGGCGGCGGCGCCCGTACGTCCCGACGTCACAGGGACAGGACACAGAAGCCGGATGCCGGCATCGGCCGGAGGAGATGGCCAGGGACGCTGCAGGGGACACATCGTGGGAGCGCAGGGTAAGGTAAGTGAAGAATACATGCCGGAGCAGTGCCGCAGGGTAAGCCCGAGTGTAGCTCGGGGTTACCGCTTTTGGTACTGAAATGTTACCCCGAGCTACACTCGGGAATACCGCCAGGGAGGTTAAGGACCTTAGGGGTCAATGTCCCCAACTTAATTGAAACCCATTTCCTCAAAACCTGCACATAGGTGAAAAGGGACGCTCCTTTTCGTGTAAGGTGAAGCCGAGTACACCCAAAAGGAAATGAGATTGAGGGAGATAACGAGAGAGATAACTAGAAGGATTGGTTCAGAAGTTGTGTAATGTGTGGAGTATGTTTGTTAAGTAAGCTGTGCCTTTACCAAAGACTCCTCTTCCTGAGGATGCCCAGTGGGAGTGCAAAACACACTGGGTGGGGTTTCCGGTTGCGTAATTTCCGGTTCTTGGAGCACATTCTGGTTTTTGTCACTTCTGGGTCTCTGGAGTAAAACTAGACTTAATGTAATGCTTTCATCTGTCTGTTTTTAATAAAATATTGTGCAATGGTAGCTGCTTCGCTTTCTCTGCTGCTGAGGGGGAGGAACAAACAAGAATGGCATATACTGTGTTGAGAGAACACAGGTTAGGGAGAGAGAAAAGAAAAGCAGGAGAGGTAACAGAACATAATCTGCTACCAGGGAGACACAGAAGAGGTACATTTACATGGATAGTGTCCTATCTTGTCTCCCTGATGCAGCTGTACCCCCATAGGAGCCCGCAATATAGATACCCAGGTTTTCCTCTATAGTTGGCCTGCAGCCAGGCACACATTCACAGTCACTCTTTGGCTTAATGAACAGTCCAGGGGTATTCTCCTTTTGGGGTTTTTAATTCTTGGGTAGCTTGGATAGGAATTGTCACGGTCTGGGTCAGGTTCAGAGACCAGTTGCTATAGCAGTGTTAAGGCTGAAACCAGCAGGATAGGTACACAGGCAGGTCACCCTGGGAAATGACACAGGCTCAACTGAGGTGCGGGGTTTAAGCACCAACCAGTTTTCACCAGAGCTCCTAATGGTGGAGATGGATTTGGCTGCGTGTTAGTATCAGGTCACATATCTCAGGATCACCCCACCAGGGAATGAGCAAGCCAGAAACCAATAGCAGATCGAACAGGTTAGGGATCAAGCAGAAGCGGAGTCAGTCAACAAGCCAAGGGTCGGTCACAAACGGTAGTAGATGAGGATGAGGCAGAATCGTAGTCCAGGAACAAGCCAAAGGTCAGTAGCGAAGGTATATAATCGGCAGCATGAGAGACAAGCGGGATATTGGCTGGAGAAGGCACAATAATCTGGCAATCAGGAAATGCAGAGACATGGCTTTTATCAGGAAGTTCATGGGAGAAGCAAGAGGTTCAAGGTTCAAGATAAACAAGGTCAAGGTAGGATCATCCAAATAATTGTCAAGAGAGCTGTCCAGCATTCCAGATGGCTCAGCAAGAAGAAACTTTGCCTCTCACTGCAGAAGGTCCAGGTTCAAACCCAGGCTCTGACAGGAATAGAGAACTGCATGGATACTCCAAAATGATGTAGAAACAGGACTCTCTTTCTTCTGTAGAACTATGAGCCAAGTCCTTGTAACTAAGCCTTGTAGTAGTAACTGGAGAAATCAGAGCAGAGTAACTCAGAACAGACCTAACAAACAGCCAATAAATTCACCTATTTGTAGCACCTAACTAGGGGGGTGCTACATTCAATCCCTGACAAAAATTGGCTGTGACCTGACTTTGACAGCTACTGCCTTAATGGTACTCAAAGACAGAATGTTCCACTAACAAGAAGGCAGCGGCAGCTCCAGGGGGATGCTTTGCTGGTGCTGGAAGTGTCAGTGGGGCTTACAATGCGTGATGCCTACTGTGCACTTGTGGGCATGTGTGCCCCATAAGTGGGCATGACCAGAAAGTGGGTGTGTCTACATGATCTATGGCTTGTAGTGTGACGTGTGACACTGTTCTCCCTTTGTATCAACCAAATAAAACCTGGGGGTTAACTGAATAGACTATGGGAATAAAATAGGCCCAGCTGGGGCCAAAATCCAGCTTGTGTCACAGCAAAATATTTAACTCCAGGCACCTCACAATTATTAGCCCACAGTAGGACCCAGCACTGTAACTGACCAGGCCATGGTTCAATACTTAAAGAGAAACTATAGGCAAAACTTTTTTTCATTTAGGATAGAGCAAGGGAGGGTTATAACCCCTGTCAAATTTTTTTTTTTCATCATCTATGTCCCATTTTAGAGATTGCCTTCACTTCCTATCTCATAGCCAAACAGGAAGTGGAAGTAAATCCTTGTAAATTAAGGGAATCCCTTGAGGACCCCCAGGTCCCCAGAACTATTGTCCCTATTGGAAAATTTCCCCTCTATTACTTTTCTGGGGACAACCCAAAATTTGGGATTTTCTTTACATAAAATGATAACTGTAACCAAAACAAACAGAGAGGGTGGATATACTTAATGGGGGCACACAACACAATGATAACCCCCCAGCACAGCGCAGTAATTAACCTCCAGCACTATACATAAATTAACCTGCAACATTGCACAATAATAAATCAGTTTCTAAGCATGCCTGCTTACATTGGTGGTCAGTGTTCATCTGCACAATGGTTGTTAGTGTGCCCCCTGTACAATGGCGGTCAGTATGCCCTCTGTACTCTGGTAGCCAGTGACCCTGCATACTGGTGGTCAGAGTGCCTCTATTTACTGGTGGTCAGTTCTCCTGTATACTGGTAGTCAGTCCCCCTGTATACTGGTGGTCAGGGCTTTTTTTTCTAAAAATAATAGGTACAGGAACTCATCCATGCCCTCTCCACAACCTCTCTGAGGGGGAAAGTATGCCACATCAAATTGCGGGTCTGGACAAACTGCACTAACAGTGGAAGGGCCTTAAATGGACTTTGTTTAAATATCGTTAAGCCCTTGCTCTCTTGCTGTCTGCTTATGAATAACTGGCATCTTACCTCAGTCAAAGAGACATTCTCTTTGAAAAGGCTATTTGCTCCAAGGTGGCACATTCTCCCTCCGTTACTACTGTATTGACTTGACAGGCATCTTCTTCTAAGGTGTTTAAGGCTAGCCCAGAGATTAGCTTAGTGGGCACCTCATAGAGGCCTACTGTGCTCTTCAGCTCCTTTTCCCACTCCATCAATGAGATATTGGAGCCACTGAACTTTGGAACTAGTACTAAGGCTGCTCCCAAGGGTGCCATTGTGATCACTAGGCTCTCATCCGTGCCAGCAGATGTGCTAGGTATATCCTGACTATGCCAGATTGTGGGCGGGGCCAAGAAGTTTGTACCCAAGTTAGAGAACCACACATAGAACCCAGGAAAAGTTGAAAAGATATTATGTTGTTTAATTGTAGATTAAACAGATGACAAGGCAAACAGTGGTCTGCAATCACGAACACTAATATTAAGGCAAATGGCAACCGTGGCAGAACACCTGAGGTAACAGTTCCAGACACTCTTGTATAACAACCTCAGTACACTGACAGTACAGGTGCAGTAATGCTGGTAGGGGAAGTCACAGCAATGTTAGTGGTATACAGTTACTCTTCAGTACCACACAATATCACACAGGCATAGCCAATTTTACCGGGTGGCAACTGCAAGAGCAGTGCGTTACTAGCAGAATGGCGACACAAGTGGCTCTTGAGGAAGCTGAACAGGTCCTGTGCAACAATTTCCGAAGATCTGCATAGTTTCCAACAGTCCCGAAATGCCTGGGACAATCCAGGAAATCTCACAGATGTCCCGGTGAGATCTTGTCCTGAGTAGAATCCCGAAAATTATGCTCTGTCATTGACAGCTGAGAGTTGCCGGTTCACTGTATGGCAAAACATGGTTGCAGCGCTAGGTAATCACAGACACCCTCCTACCTGCTCCACCTCCTGCCTGTGTTTGTAGATTGGTAAGTACCTCCTCCCCCAACAGCTAACCAGGTGGTGCTCTCTGGGAATCACTCTGAGTCTCTGACTGAGAACATCATTGAGAGGCAGAATCTGTGAGACTCGTAGATTGATTGGGCAGGTCTCGGGGAGGTGGTGCAGCCGGCCCTCCTTCAGCGGTGCACGTGAGGCTCAGGCAGCAACAGGTGAAGGAGGTAAGTTACTGCGGTGGCAGCAGGGCTGGCACTATTACAAGGCAGCTCAGGCAGCCGCCTTAGGGCGCCAGGACTGGGGGGGGAGGTAAAATGCACCTTACCCTGAGCAGACAAACATCCTTGCACCAGCCCTGACAGCCAGCGATGACAGCAGAAGTGACCAGTGTCAGCCTGTCCTATATGTACAGGTCCTCTATGAGGACTATGCTGGAATAAACTCACACATCGCCCGGGGAAGATGCTCTTACTTTCTGCACATCCCTCAGGTAGGTGTGTCTGAGCGCTGACAGGTGGGTATGGCCAATGGCAGAGAAGCCAACTCACAGTTTGGTGAGCCCAATGAGAGGTTCACATACACTTGCAATCTACACACTGACACAGGCACCGCTCTGTCTAAGAGCTGGGGACCATCTCCTGTCATTACGTGTGCAAGCACAGCACCTCCGCCATGGCATTGTGTGATGGTGGCCATGCACATTTCTATCAATAATCATTGATGGAATCAACTCTGATCCATCTCCATCGATCATCCAACTAATTCCCATCCATAATCGGAAGATTCAAATGTAAGTTATTGATCACATCTCTGTATCAACCATACAATCTCACAATCTGATTGATCAAAACTTAATTGGAGTCACAAAGCATCTTGGTCCTGTCGTTCGATACAACAAGCTCAATAATTTTCTGCTCAGTTTGATCCAATTTTGATCTAGATCGATCAGAAGGGAAGTCATGTCTATTCAATTGTATGCTATTCGAACATTCTAAATGAAGTACATCAATCTGATAATAAAATTGAAGCATCTATGACCCTTGTGAGAGGAAAAGGCGGGGAAAAAGAGTTTCTAGTCCCCCCTTTCCCTCATGGTACTGTGGCAGTGTAGTATCAATGCTCCCCGGGCTGTTTGGGCGGGCTTTTTTGGCAGCAAAAGGTCACCTGACCTCTGTGAAGGTCATGTG